GGGGGGGGACACCCGTGCGGGCACACAGGGTGCAGGGCAGGGGGGGGACACCCGTGGGGCACTCCTCCGCACACAGGGTGCAGGGGGGGGACACCCGTGCGGGCACACAGGGTGCAGGGCGGGGGGGGACACCCGTGGGGCACTGCTCCGCACACAGGGTGCAGGGACACACCCCCACTCAGCTCTAGCTGCTTGCTTCAGCAGGCAGAAGAAGAGGGCCGGAGAGAGGACACGAATGCCCAGATCACCCAGCCGACAGGCCCTGGGGGGGGGGGCGCTCCGTGTGGGGATGGAGCTGAGGCCCTCCCTGAGGTCCCACGCGGGCAGGGGCGCCTGCCAGGGGCTCATCAGGCCGGTGCTGCAGCTGCTCATCAGGCCTGGAGCCCTGGCCCTGGCGAGCTCCCCAGCCCCTTGTTCCGCACCCACACTGCGCCCCACTGTTCCCCAGGAAGCTCGCCTCTGCCCAGGGCCTTTGCACAGGCTGTACCCTCACTCCCAACACTTCCCTCAGACCGTCTGCTCAAAGGCCATCTCCTCCCAGAGGCCTCTCAGCCCCAGGCTCCAAGCCTCTTCTGCTCCACAGGCTAAGGCCGAGGCAATTAGCCGTGGGAAAGCTTGAAGCACCCTGCTCGGCATACAGTAGGTGCTCAGGAGATGCAGCCACGCCGGGACCCTCGTCTGATGCAAATCTCAGGCCACCGTTATCACTGGGAGTTATTGTTAAGGAGCTTTGCTTCCACAGGGCTGGGGCCCAGCCTGGGTGTTTATGTCGGTAGCATCGTTTTTCAAACCCTGAACGGAGAGGCCTCCTGACTCTCCTTCCCACACCCCATGCAGAGTCTCAGTACCACGAACAAGGCGGGCAGAGGCCCCCTGCAGCCATGTTTCCTGCAAAAGACCTGCCTCAGTGTCCCTATCTGCAAACAGGGCTCTTTGCTCAGGGCTGTGCAGAGGCAGGGTGGGCAGGGCTCCGAGGGGCAGGCAGGGTCGAAGGTCTCATGCAGTCTGAGGAGCTGAAGAGACCCACGTGGTGGCCGGGAGAGCCGGGCCCTTCACACAGCTCCAGGCGCCACGGCACGACTCGCTGCTGCCTCCCCTGCATTAGCCCCTGCTCCTCGCTGTCCTCAGATGCACCGCACCCTGACCCCACCTCAGGGCCTTTGCATGGCAGCCCCAGCTCTCTGCTCTGGCACAGTTCCTCCTTCCAGGACCCAGGAACTGTTCTGCCGCGACTTGAACCCCAGTTCCACAAGCTTGGAGACTTCGTGCCTCAGTTTCCCTTTGATAAGATGAAGACAGCGCCCAGCCTTCCACAGAGGACGGTGGTGAGTGTGAACCTACCCGTGTGTGGCCGGTCCTGGGGCGACGCAGATGGGATTATTCTCGCCTTCCTGGCACTGCAGGCGCTGATTGGTCACCTCCCTGGTGGCAGTTGCATCCTGGGGCCTTGGGTTCCCTAGGCCGACAGCGTCCGCGCAGGGCGGTGAAGGAACTCCCGCCTCCGTTGCCCGAGGCCGCCGGCCTGTTCCCGGCCCTCCCCTGCCCCCTGGTGGTCACTCGTGGTATTTCCCCAAGGCACCAACAGGGACCCTTTCCTGCCCATTTTGGGACTGGCTGGGTCCCCAGCACCCAGAGAGGCGGCCATGCAAAACAGACCAGCTGCCCGCGGCCCTGGGCTCCCACCTGCATGGATACGACGGGAACATGTGCCTGCTGGGCACAGAGCCAGGGCGCCGGGGGCCCACCCCCCAGGGAGGGGAGCCCTTGGTGGGCGGGAGTTCGGGAGTCCCAGAGGGATACCTCCTGCCTCGGGGCCTTTGCTCATGTTGCGAAAGATGTTTTCATCTCCCACAGGTGCCCCAGTGAACCTCTGAGACCCTTCTGCCTGCAGCTGTGCAGACACCGGGCTTTGTCTCTGCGTGGCCTGCCCCGTGGGTGTCTCAGTGGGTGTCTCAGAGCCGCCCAGGCCGGGCTCTCCCCCGGCGGGAGCCAGCCCCTCCTCCGAACATGGTGACCTCCTCGGTAGCACAGGCTTCTTGTCGGCCTTCGTGACGGCTCCCGAAGGTTCTCAGCACAGTGCCTGGCACACAGCAGTTCAGTTTGCGACCATGGCATCTGGGTGAATTTTGGAAAACCTATTTAAGGGGCAGTGTGTGTATTTATTCGATGTTCAGTGCACAGGACACCGGCCGCCTGTGCCTGTCAGACAGCAGTAACAGCTCAGCGTCGCAGCCGCCTGACCTGCAGCTCGCCATGTCAGGTGGCGCTCCCCAGGGAGGTCATCCTGAGGGTGGGGAGCCCAGGAGCCCAGGTCCCTGAGGGGCCTGAGGTCAGGTGAGGGGCTATGTGCAGGCTGTACTGGGAGCCCACTCAGCCCCCGCCCCCCTGCAGAGAAGGGGACAGGCCCCGGGGAGGCCACGGCAGCACCGGGCCCTCCCGCCCCACACAGGCACACCCAGCACGCCAAAGATGCCTGTCCTGGGCCCACACACAGGCCGTCTCCCCGGGCCCGGGGCCCCAGCCCCCAGCTGACCTCTGGAGGTCCGGTCCCAAGAGCCCCCCTGGGTGGGGGACCGAGGCGTGCCCAGACGGCCCGGCCTCCAGGATGTGGGCTCAGGGCCGGGCCGTCGGGGTCTGGTGGGGGTCCAGAGGGGCTTGATGGACAGGGTTGGGCACAGGCAGCTGGTAGCTGTGAGGACCCCCTGGGGGAGCCACAGGGGAGAATTGGGCTGGATCTGGGCAGGAATGGGACAGGGTGTGGGCTGGGGATGCAGAGGCCATGGTCTCTCGTGGGATCCAGCGGACGGGACCAGGGTCTGGGGTCTTTTGGGAGAACACCACATGCAAGGGCCCAGCAGAGGGGCAGCCCCGGCCTGGTCCAGGGCACCGCTCAGCGGCAGCACCTTCCAGGCAGGATGGGGGCCCAGAGACCCGGCTCCCCTCCCCCCGCTTCCCTGGGCTCAGCCACCGAGCAGGACAGAGGATGTGCCACGCTGGGCACCCATCATGCTGGCGGGAGCCAGAGCTCAGAGAGGGGAAGGGACAAGGGTGTCATGCACTGCATTTCTATGCCCCGTGGCAAACGGCACCCACACATCGTCACCCACTTGTGGGCGCTCAGCTGCATGGTCACAGTGGCCTGGTGCGACTCCTGGCCCCACCCAGCACTTCCACAGGCAGCTGCTCGGCTACCTGCGCACCCTATGCCCTGGGCCATGGCCATCTGGTAAGCGGGCACACGAGGGCCACCCACCCTCCCTCCACCAGGCCCCACAACAGGCCCAGGGATGCTCAGCAGGGCGCGGGCCGCTCTCTGGGTGCATCGGCCCATGTCCTCCCTCCTCACCGGCCCTGCCCTGTGCGTGGGGAGGGCGTCTAGGCAGGATCTGTCTTGAATAACCCCTGGATCCAGCCTGCTGACATCTCAGGTGTGGGCCCCGCGCCCACTGACTCTGCTAAACCGCACAACTGTGAGCCTGTGAGGTTCTAGAGGCTCCAAGGGACGCTGTGGGCGGAGGCTGCTGCTCCTGCAGGCTGGCTGGGGGCGCTCTGGCCGTCCGTGGGCCGTGGGCAATCCAAGGGCTTTGCGAGTACAGCGCCACCCAGCCTGGCCTGCCTGCCCGCCCGCCCCAGCCCTGTGCTCCCGCGCTCCCTCCCGCCACCCCTACCGCGGATGAGCAGGAATGACACAGACGTGGTTCTGTACAAAACCTGAAATATTTTTACTCTTTTAAAACTTTGATCTAAGCTGCCTTAGACCTCATGGACTCGATACAAGAGTAATATGAATCAGGAAATAAAACACTTTAATAGCCACGGTAAACTTTGTTAGAAATGTACATGTTGCCAAATAATAATAATAAACTTTAAAAAATAAAAGAGAGAGAGAAAGAGAACAGCTTGATGGCCGGGTTAGATTATATAAATGTTCAACAAGGACGGGAAAGGAAACCTCGCAGACGCCAGGGTGGCTCCGTTGGGGCCGGCGACCTCCCGCCAGCCTCCGGGCCGGGGCCACACCCCCGCAGCGCGGGCCACCTCTGCGCACGGACACAGCGCCCGGGGACGGGCGTATAAACAAAGCTCATAAGAAATGTACAAATATAAAAAGCTACAAACAGTAATAAATTACAGCATCACAAAACACAGAAACACTCCACAAGGTGCTAGTAAAAATAACTGCGTCCCCACCCCCTCCGCCAACAGGAAGGAAAGAAAGAGCTGGTATTCGAGTTGAAGACCCTCTCTGATCGCATCTGGAACAGGTCTCGTGCGTGCGATTTGCTTCTGTAAAGACAGATATAAGGCTGCACAGACATCACTTGTTTTTCAGGCAATACCTTAGTTCCTAAGAGAAAAAAATTATATCGACAATAACAGTGAAAAGAAAGAAGGAAAGGAAAAGCACTGGAAACCCAACTGCCCATCAGACTCGGCAAAAAACTCGTATAAATGTTAATGAAGGGCTCTATAGAAAGAAATTCCTAAAGATACTTTTACTCTTATAAAAAGAAGTTATTTAAAAAGCTATGTACACGCTACATTCTATGAAAAATATGCTTCAGGAAGTACATCTAAAATTAAAATACAGGATTGCCTGAGAAACAAATCCAGCCCCTCCGTGCCGCCAGGCAGAGGACGTGCGGTCGGGGACCCGCCCGAGGCCTCGACACCAAACACCGACAGGTGACGAGACAGAAGTTCGGGCCGCCCAGCCGCCGTCCGCCCCGCCGGGCAGGTGCCTCGGCTGACAAGTGCTTCTCCGAGTGTAGCCGGTGGGGCTGGACGGGGCCCACCCACATGGCTTAGCCTGGGCTCCCAGGCCCCCTCCCCCTGTCGTGGCTGGGCCCGGCCCTTCCAGGGGGACCCACGACAGCGCCCCCGCCCACTATCACAGACCCTGCGGCCGGCCCCAGCGTCCCGAGAAACGCCCCAGCCGGTCAGGGCACGGCGTCCACCGTCCAGCCCGCCAACTTGCTGGCCACGGAACACAGAGGCCCCTCTCCCGGCCGGGCCGAACGCTCTCTGGACTGTCTGAGAATCACTCAGGAAGAGCAGGGGGGCACACAAGACCCCGCTTTCTCCTCCTCTTCCTCTCTAGTGTTCTTTGCCTTTTTTAAGCCTCTGGAGGCTACCAGCCTGTGGCCAGCTCAGACTCTGGGCCTGGTGAGCATTGGCTCACTCCTCCTTCCTCGAAGGACTCATGCTCCCAGCAGAGCTGCGGAGGCCCTGCAATCACACCCACACTCGGGGGTGCCTGGAGGCTGTCCTGAAACTGGAATGGTCCTCACACGGGCAGGGCCGAGTTTCGGGAACTGGTCACTCTAAGCAACTTGAGAAAGGACATCTGTCCACATTGGTGAGCTCCGCTCGTACGGGGGGAGTGGTGGCCAGTAGGAGCCAGGCCCTCCCTGGGGCGAGGCAGCGTGGCCACCCTCCTGGGGGCAGATGTTCTAGCGGGGCTCCGGGGGTCCTGAGCGGAGCGGAAGGATCCTGGCTTTCCAAACTTTAAAGGAGTAGTTTTCCGTTCCGATGAATTTTCAAAATTTTCCCAAGCCTCTGCTTGGCGGTGGCCATGCCCTTTTTTGTACGTTTTCCTGCAGCCAGAGGAGACACGAGGGGGGCGGGTGTGAGACAGTGAGAGGCACAGCCCCTGCCTCCTCTGTAAGTGGGCCTGCGGACCTGAGCCCCAGGCTCCACACCCCACGAGCCCACGGCAGTCACCAAAGTGCCCTGCTTAGAGGCTGCGGGACAAGGGTGGGGGCCCGGCCCGCCTCCAGGCAGCGGGAGCCACGCTCCCGTGTCCGCGGCCAGCCAGGCCCGGTGGTCAGGGTGCAGGCCTGGGGGGAGAGTGGGGACCTGGGGGCCCAGCCAGCAGCCCTGCCCCCAAACCACCCAGGGGAGCCTGGACCACCCTGGGCCCTTCGGCACGCTGCTGACCACACCCCCGCTCCGAGCTGGGCCCCAAAGCCGAGGCAGCCAGAACCAGCCTCCACACCACGAGGGCCCCTAGCGGAGTGCGTGGCTGCAGACGTGGCCGCTGTGGGATGGGGGAAACCCGTGATCACAGCCACCTGCTGTGCGGTCTGAGGGCCTGGGCCGCTCAGGGCGCGTGGGCACGGTACCTTTGGCAGCGGTGTTGTTGGGGGATGACACGGAGGGCCGCCTCTGCGTGAGGAAGACCCCCGGGGCCATGGGCTGGGAGGCGCGGCCAGCCTGGGCCCCTGCAAAGGCGCCGGCCGCCGTGTACTCGTGGTCCGCCAGGCTGCTGCTGTGAGACTCCGGTGGGGGCTCGGGCGAGCTGCCCTCCTGCGAGGCCTGGCTGCTGGCCGTACTGGTGGAGGCCGGGGTGGTGGAGGCCGGGGTGGTGGAGGCTGGGGTGGCGGAGGCCGATGTGGCAGAGGCCGAGGTGGTGGAGGCCGAGGTGGTGGAGCCGGAAGTGGTGCTGGCGGAGGCGGGGGCGGGGGCGGGGGCGGGGGCGGGGGCAGGGGGCGAGGGGATGCTGGGAGCCGGCTTCCTCTTGGTGTTCTTCTTCTTCCTGCTCTTCTGCTCCTCCTTTGAACAAAGCACGGGCCGGGCCTCAGGCGTGCAGGACACGTCTCCCGTGGGGCTGGGCGAGTTTGCCCCCAGGAGCAGACCTGGCTGGGCCCACACCCAGCCCCACGGCGCCCACGGCGAACCTGAGCAGCGCTGGGGACAGTGCAGGGACTACCGTGCCCCCCATTTGGGCAGGCTGTCCCGGACGTGGGACACATGGGCCGTGGCACCACCACTCAGCTGCAGTGGACGCGCCCCTCGCCCATCCCCCACCCACTGCCTGACTCCCAGCGGGGGGGGGGGGGGGCCTGGGTCACCAGTCCCCGCCTCCCCACCTCCCTTCCACTCCCAGGGACTGTGAACAGGGAGCAGCAAGACTCAAATGTTCCCAAGCCTGAGATAGTGCCCAGAGTGGGCAATCGAGGCTCGGGGCTGGGGGTGGGGGGGGAGCAGGGGCATCTGGGGAGCCTGAGCCCCGGCAGGGCCCCTCTCACCTGCTGGGACAGCTTGGCTGCGGCCGCTGCCAGCCCAGTCTCGATGGAGGCCACTCTGGTGCCCTCACGCACAGGCCTGTCCTGCCTGGGCACCGATGGGCCGACCCTCGCTGCAAGAGAGCGTCAGCGCCTATGCACCCCTGCGTCAGTCTGTGTCTGACACCTCACAACGCAGGGAGGGGCCCCACACCAGCCACACAGGAGACAGCTGGCAGGGGCGCACGGGAGGTGGACTCAGACCCCCGCCCCCGACAGTGTAGGCAAGGGGCGGGCCCTCCGCAGGCAGCCCCCACCCCGGCCCCTGCACTACCTGTGGGGCTGTAGGGGGCGTCGTCCGAGCCCTTCCTCTTCTTGGACCGAGACTTGAAGACCGGACTGTCCTCGTCAGACTCCAGGGAGGGGTAAACTAGGAGGGGGGGTGAGGCTGAGCCCCTGCTGCGCCCGGGGGACTCTGGGCCGCAGAGCGCGGTCCCTCCTGGCGTAGCTGCCACACCCACGGGCACAGGTCCCCCAGGAGCCATCCAGCCCGGGGCCCCTGAGGCCAGGAAGGGCAGGGACTGGCCAGACCCGCCCCAGCGAGTCTCTGATGAGGGAACCCTGCACAACAGCCCGGGGGGTCCCGGGCGCCCCCACCACAGTGCTCACTGCCGTCAGTCTGTCTCTCAGACCAGCGCAGGCCCCACAGCCAGGCCCGCAGGTATCTACCCCTCGGGAGGGCTCTCCAGGGGCAGGAGGGTGAAGTCGGGGCCCTTCAGCCATGAGGACAGTGCCAGGATGACCGGATCACCCGGGCAGCGCCCCCCAGGGCCCCAAACAGCCCCGGGGGGCGGGCCAAGGTGTGGAGGCAGGCCCTCACTCCTGAGCCAACAGCAGCTCCCCCAGAGCGGCCTGGAGCCCCGAGAGCAGGGCCTGGAGGGCTGGGGGGCAGGGGTCATGCCCTCAGGGCCCCGGCTCACTGCCCACCTTGGATGTAGGCCACTCTGGGCCCCGGTGTCATGACCCCCCCACACACAGGGAGGATGGGGTCTCAACGTGTCTGTGAGTGTGCCACGGTGCGGCCACGGACGGGGAGGGCTGGGTTGGTCCTTGGAGGGCAGGAGAGCCAGCGGCCTCCCACCCAGCAGCCCCCCGTCGCAGGTCCACACCCGGGGCGCTGCAGACGCGGCCACACACAACCGCTGCACCGGCGTTCCCAGCAGCAGCGTCCTCGGTGGCTGAGGGGCGGGAGCCGGCAGGCGTCCACAAGCGGCCGGAAGCGCGGCAGCCAGGCCAGAGCACATGGGAGGGGAGGTCCGTGCCCAGGGCGTGACGCACACAGATGGGGAGACGCGGGCCGCCCGCACCCCAGGGCCTCACCGTAGTCTGAGTCCTTGAAGCAGGCGTCCAGGTGGTCCTGCTCCTCCTCGTAATCATCCAGGTCCACGCTGTTCTTGGCCGCCCTCTTCAGCAGCCGCTTGCCGGCGCCCTTGCCGCCACCCCCGTTCTTCCGGGCGCCGTGGGCCGCCAGCGAGCTGCCCTTGGCCTGGCCAGCGCCCCACGTGGTCTGCAGACAGGAGTCGGAGGCCTGCAGGTTGGCCATGGACAGCATTCCCTGAATTGCTTCCTGCGTGCTGGGGGAGGCCGGGGGCTGGCTGGAGACACAGAGACACACACTCAGCCCACAGCCCACGGCCCAGAGCACCCAGTCCACGGCCCACGGCACTCAGCCCACGGCCCACGGCCCAGAGCACCCAGTCCATGGCCCACAGCACTCAGCCCACGGCCCACGGCCCAGAGCACTCAGCCCACGGCCCACAGCACTCAGCCCACGGCCCACAGCACTCAGCTCACGGCCCACGGCCCAGAGCACCCAGNCCTTGGAGGGCAGGAGAGCCAGCGGCCTCCCACCCAGCAGCCCCCCGTCGCAGGTCCACACCCGGGGCGCTGCAGACGCGGCCACACACAACCGCTGCACCGGCGTTCCCAGCAGCAGCGTCCTCGGTGGCTGAGGGGCGGGAGCCGGCAGGCGTCCACAAGCGGCCGGAAGCGCGGCAGCCAGGCCAGAGCACATGGGAGGGGAGGTCCGTGCCCAGGGCGTGACGCACACAGATGGGGAGACGCGGGCCGCCCGCACCCCAGGGCCTCACCGTAGTCTGAGTCCTTGAAGCAGGCGTCCAGGTGGTCCTGCTCCTCCTCGTAATCATCCAGGTCCACGCTGTTCTTGGCCGCCCTCTTCAGCAGCCGCTTGCCGGCGCCCTTGCCGCCACCCCCGTTCTTCCGGGCGCCGTGGGCCGCCAGCGAGCTGCCCTTGGCCTGGCCAGCGCCCCACGTGGTCTGCAGACAGGAGTCGGAGGCCTGCAGGTTGGCCATGGACAGCATTCCCTGAATTGCTTCCTGCGTGCTGGGGGAGGCCGGGGGCTGGCTGGAGACACAGAGACACACACTCAGCCCACAGCCCACGGCCCAGAGCACCCAGTCCACGGCCCACGGCACTCAGCCCACGGCCCACGGCCCAGAGCACCCAGTCCATGGCCCACGGCACTCAGCCCACGGCCCACGGCCCAGAGCACCCAGTCCATGGCCCACGGCACTCCGCCCACGGCCCACGGCCCAGAGCACTCAGTCCACGGCCCATGGCCCACAGCTCACAGACTCCCCCCCACACACACACCGTGGCTAGAAGAGGGTACAGCAGTAGCTGATGACTCCCTCTTTGAAAGAGCCAACCACCTCTTCTGCAGCCCACTGCCCCCACACCCTGCAGGATCAGAGAGGGCATGGAGAGGGGACACAGGAGAAGAGAGGGAGCGGAAGGGGCAGAGAGAGAAGGGGGGGCAGATCGATGTGCCTGTGCCTGCCCCCGACTGCACCTGCTCTTTACCTGATGGCCACGCCTCAGCCCAGCCTGAGCTCCGCTCCTCTCAGCCGCCCCCTCAGCAGCTTTCCTAACACCACCTCCTGCTGCCCCGATCCAGGCACCTGTCACCCTGCAGCTCTGGGCAGTGCCGTGCCAGGTCCTCTTTGCCTGCCCGCCCCACCCCCATCACCTCCTCCCTGCTGAACTGGCTCCCCTCCCTCCAGATAACCGGTGAGGCTGCGCCGCTGCTAATGCCATGTCTGGCCTGGGCTCTGGGAGGGGTGGGCGGCAGCCCCTCCCCACGTAGAACAGGGGCCTGGACGTGGCTGGGTGGGGACAGCTCTCCCGGCCGAGGCCTAACTCCACCAGGCGCTGTGCTCTCCGGCCTGTCCCCGCAGACCCTCCCACAGGGCCTGTCCGGGCCTCCTCAGGGGCCTCCTGTCCCGCCCCCACCCCCGGCTGCTTCCCCGCCCCCGCCCCAGCCCATGCCTCCTTGCAGCCAGGAGAGAGCGCCCACTCTCGTCTCCCCTCCACATCTCCCTGCAAGGCACCCAGCGCCCAGCCCAGGCAACTCCCAGGGGAACTGGCCCAGCAGGCATCTCCCTTCAGGGCCCGTTTCTTACCCTCAGCCTCACCATCACCCCAGACTTGGAGCCACGTGGGACAGGACAGCCCACCCGGGCCTGTGGGCCCCCAGCCACACCGCTGCATCAGGCACTCCGGGGCGGACCCTCCCTGGAGGCAGGACCAGGAGCCCCGCATGGGGCGGGGGAGCCGCAGGCCGCTTGGCCCTCCTTCCCATCACAGACCGAGGCCTAGGGAGCGGCTGCGGGGTCCGGCCCTGGGGTCTGACATCCAGGCCTCTCCTGCCTGCCCCGTGTGCCCCAGGGGATGGACCCACTCGAGGCAACTGTGACCCCAAAGCAGCACCCAGAGTGTCGGTCCACACGGGCCCTGCTGGGGGCTCTGCTTCGCCCTCTCTCACATGGCCCCTTCCCCCCGCCCCTCCCCCACCCCATCTCCAAGAAGTGTTGGAAACGCATTTAGTAGTAGGGCTGTCACAACGGGAAGGAGCCACAAGTCCCTGCTCAGAAATGAGAGCGGCTGGCGGGCTGGGGGAGACGGGGCCGGCCCTCGGGGAGCATAGACACCGCTTCCCGCAGGTCCCAGCGGCCCAGCAAGGCCTGGACACAAGCTGTCCTGCTGGGTCACTGCTGGGCTCCAGGCCAGGCACTCTGTCCAGAGCTGGGAGGAGGGGGGTGGGAAGGGCTCTCCAAGCAGCCCCCCCCCCAAATTCCACCTCCTGGGCTCTGCCCCAGACACCCTGGACCACAGCGTCCTGGCTCCTGCTGGAACCAAACAGGACTGTGGTTCCAAAACTCAAACAATGGGAAAGTCACATCCAACGGCCAGAGTCGGGAGCTCCTCGCCCCTCTGCCCCGTCTACACTGCATAGGTAAAGGCTTGTCCAGACCTGGCTGGGAGAACACTGTGCACCACTGCTGTGCCAGCCTCACCGGTGGGCTCTGAGCAGCACAGACCACCAGCCTGCAGGGGAGCCAGCAGGAGCCAGCGGCTGGCTCATCACCCTCTGCACCAGGCTCTCGGGGGGCATGGGTGTGGCCCCGTCCGGTCCTGTCCTGCAGCTCTGGGCCCCTCACCCAGCCTCAGGGCTGGGCAGGCTTCCCGCAGGGACAGGAGGGCAGGGGGCCAGGACACCCACCGTGAGCTTCCCCGGGGGCCGGTATGGTCCCAGCCCAGCTTGGCTGCACCCAAGAGGAGGCCTGGGCAGCCCAGGGCTGCATGCCGCCCCGGCCAGCCATCGGTCCAAGCGGGGCGGGTGCATCAAGGAGCAAAGTCCAGCCAGTGCACATGGAAACTCATCTCTTAATCCTCCAATTACCATACCAGAGCCTGCCCCCACCCCAGCGGTGAACGCTGAGCAAACCATCCACAGGAAATTAACATATTTCCCTCCAGTTTTTTCAGCTGTTTTTTCCCAACAGCAAATACTTAAAACAGAGCAAATGGACCATCAAAAATCGACCTGCTCTCCAAATGGGAGATTGGAGAGAGGAACTGCCTGCAGCAGGCAGAGCGGGTGGGCCTGGCAGGCACGTGCACGTGTGCGGGTGGGTGTAAGGGCACACGTGTGTGTGTCCAGAGCAGTTAGCAGTGCGCACCTCGGACCAGCTGCCCTCGCCCCTGGGGCCGAGCCCAAGCTGCAGCGCCTCGTCCCCGGCTCCACCTCCGGAGTTCGAGCATCAGCCGCCAGAGTTCCTTCCAGAAGAAGGGCACCCCAAGGCCGCGTGGGACCAGTGCCCTCCTGGAAAGGGGCTCACAGCCAGACTCCTCCCGGCAAAGCCTCAGGCTGGGGCCCCACCACAGCAAAGGCCACAGGGCATTTCTGAAGTGAGGGACTCATGTCTGTGAGTCTACAGAAGCCACTTAATGCTGAGCAGAAGTCACAGCCCAAAGGGGAGCAGCCGCTGCCAGCTGCACACCGCCCCCAAGAGAAGGCACCTACGGCTGCCTGTGAACACCGCACTGCACAAACACCGTGACTCGTGAAAGAAGACGCAGCCAAGGGGCTTAACAAGAGTCCTCTCCAATGGCGGCCCGATGCGCTTCCTAGGGACCCCGTCTGTGGAGACAGGCCTGACATGTGGCCTCCCACAGCTCATGCAGCGCTGGGACCATGATTCCGGAAACGCGGCCTCCGGGGCAGAGCTAGGGGACCGAGTGCTGTGCAGGCCACGTGCACCCTACCTTCCCCAGGCCCAGCCCCTCCTGCCTGGACGTCAGCGCCCAGCACAGCCCACCGTCGGGGGTGCCCACCATGCTCCGTCATCAGGCAGGACAGGGATTCTGCTCTGGCCTCTGCCACTTCCACGCAGTGTGGCCCTGAGCACGCTGCCTCAGTGTCTCCTGGGCCGGGGGAATGTGCCGCTGTCGTGGGGACAGCCAGGGGACAAACTCTCAGGTGGGAGGAGGCCCTGACCCCTCAGATATCTGCCTGTGGTACTTGTGGAAATTCCACGTGAATAAAAATGACCACAATGCTTAAAAACAAAAGTCATTGGGTGGGCAGAGAATTCAGCTGGGACCGTCACCAGAGAAACGAGCCCAGGCCCCTCACCCAAAAAAGCCCAGAGGCGTTAACATCCGTGTCTCTCAAATCGCAGGCCTGGGCCGCCCCCCTCCCCGCAGACTGGGCAGCAGGAATCCTGCCATCTAGGGGTCCCCATGGCCTCAGCGAGTGGGCTCCCACCCTCACCAGACAAGTGCGTGTCAGGGGTCAACTGTAGTCTGGGAGGGTCCACCCCCCCCCCCACGGGTGTGGTCATCTGGGGCCTGGCAGGTGCGGCCCCTCCCAGGCACGGCTCTCTTCTCCCCAAGGTTCTGAAATGACCGTCTCCCTCCCTGCGGGGCGAGGTTTCTACAGCCCTGGGTCCCAGAGACACCCAGTGCCCTTGACTCGGGGGCTGGGCACAGGCCGTGGAAAATTTCCTCGTTACCTTCTCTAGACAGAGACTGGACTTCCCGGCCAGGAGCCCAGCCCTGGTCCTCCGCATCCCCCCAGGGAGGGCGGCCACTCAGCCTCCTCGGACTACGGGTGTCCAGGACTGGGGCGGGGCGAGGGGCGCGGGCGGGGCGAGGGGCGCGGGCGGGAGCTCTGTGCTCTTGCTCGGGGCCTCCACAGGCCTTCAGGGACAGCAGGCCAGGCCCCACCCACCTCTCCGGCCACCCTGCCTCTGGGACGTAGGCCCAGGGAGCCCGTGTGTGCCCCTCGGGCCTACCTGTTGGGGTTGTACTCGAGCGCTCCGACCTCCTCGCTGGCCTGCAGCAGGTCCAGGATGCCCGCGGCCGAGCCCCCGCCGTCCTTCTTCACTTTGGCGTTGCGGGCGGGCTTGGTGTCTGTGTCGATGTGCAGCGAGCCCTCATCAGAGGACTCCTCACTCTGCCACGGGGGCAGAGCCACAGGTCAGAGAGGGCCTGGGGGACGGCCACTGTCTCCCTCTGGCCACAAACAGGTTTCTCACAGTCTGGCATAACTGGGGACTGCCAGCCACACACACACAGCATGGCTGCGGGTCAGAGCTTTCTGCCGGGCCCAGGCACCTGCCCCAGAGGGCCACCCTGTTGCCCCAGGGAGCCCTGGCTCAGGGGGATTCCGTGGGAGCCCCAGCACTGACCACAGCCGGGAGGAGAGCCTGTGCGGGTGGGCAAGGAGCCAGTGGCAGCACAGGCCCACACGTGGGGCCCCAGTTAACAGCCACTGGCAGGCTCTGGGCTCCCTGGCCTCCTTGCAAACAGCCATTGTGTCCTGGGCTGGACACAGCCTAACTTAACCACCCCCCCAACCATGGCACAGGACCCCCAGCAGGCCTGTCCCCCCATTCATCATCTTCATGGCAGCAGAGCCACCTGCAGTGACTGCAGACCCTCGGCAAGCCCCGCCCCCGCTCTCATCCCTCCCTGCGGCCCTGAGGCCCCCCGGCCCACCCCCCCATGGGAACGCCGGGTGGGGAGGGGCATGAAGGCGAGCCACGTCCCCTGCGAGGCAGGACAGCCAGAGACGGGCATGCACGTGTGGCTGGGTCTCCCGGGCACCCGGCGCAGACGCACCTTGTAGAGCGCCGAGTCCAGCTTTGGCTTCGTAACAGGCGTGGGCAGCGGCTCCTTCCCGTCCAGTAAGACTGAAAGCACAGCAGAGGTGCGTCTGGCCAAGGCCGTGGGAGCGTGGCCGCCCCCCACCCCCGCGCCCTCACTCACAGGACAAGTCTCTCTTGGGGGCACTCCGCTTCCTCCTGATGGGGAACTCGTCAATCTTGAGCTCCCCGTCATCAGACACGTACTCGTACTCGTCCCGCACGGGCTGGGGCTTGTCTCCCTTGAAGCCCTGCACGGCCCCAAACACGCCGGGCCCGGGCTGCGGCTTCAGGGCCTTGGAGCTGCGGTGCACACGCAGGCGGTCAGTGCCGCCGGACGGCGCCTGGCCTGGCCTCGGGCTGCTGGAGGGCGCGCCCCCGCCCCCGCCCCGGGCTCTGAGCCCAGCGCGGTTTCTGAGGCAGCCAGTGCCCACGGCCTGAGGGCCCCGTGGGGCGATTTCAGGAAGATTAATTCCGACTGTGGTGCAGGCACAACAGTGTCTATCATTCAACTCGGGCGAGGCAGGGCTCCAGCCACCTCCAGCAACGGGGACGGCAGGCAGGGCCCGGCCTTCCGCCACTCCCAGCGGCGCAGCGCCGACTGCCAGCAGCCGAAGCACACGCCAGGAGGTGGGGAGCCCCGCTGGATGTGTGCACAGGCCTGCACGCGCAGCTGTGACGCGGCGTCCACGCGCAGGCGTGCACGTGCAGCTGCCTCCTCTGTCTCCAAAGCCCCTGGGGCGCAGCAACTGACCTTCAGACCATCAAGCACGTGCTCAGGGCCCCAAGGTCCAGGCGGCGGCCCCTCCCCTCCCCACTGGCCGCTGGGTCCCAAGACCACCCAAACCGCAGCCATCCCCCCTGCTTGCTGAGTAGCCTCGGCACATTGCCTAGAGCTCCCCAGACGAATGGGCCGTGGGGCCAGGCTCTGCGCAGCACCGGACGCTGCCCTGCAACAAGGAAACTGAAACCCACGGCAGAAAACTGGCCCAATTCCCACTGGGATGTGCTGCTTCCGGGCCAGGGGACGCCCACCCCAGCCTCAGACTCAGCAAGCAAGGGGCTTCTCGGCTGCCAAGCTGGTCAGCAGACACAGACCCCTTCCACCGACTGGAACACAGACATGCCCAGTCCCCCACACACCCTCCTGGCCTCTCAGCTCAGTGCCACCTCCTCCAGGAAGCACTCCTGATTTCTCAGACCTCACAGGCCCCGCGTATCTTTCCTCCACAGCCCCCATCACAGCCATGATTTGGGCTACATCTGAGAACACTGTGTTCACACTGGCGTCTGGCCCCCAAGGCCAGGACCCTGACCCACCCTACCTTTTCCGCGCTAGCCCAGGGCAGCAATTGGGCTGACGGCCACCCAGTCACACTCCCCTCTGCCAGCACACACCGATCGGCCCCTCTCCACCCACCAGAGCTGTCACGTTGGGAGGCGGGAAAGGGGTCTGCCTGGTGATGCCAGCCAGCTCAGGAAGTCGTGTGTGTGCATGTGTGATATGTGCATGTGGGGTGTGTGTGAGCCTGTGTGATGTGGGTGTGTTTCCATGTGCGTGTGCTGTGTGCGAGCGTGCTCATCCGGGCCCCGCAGGCCGAGCGTGCACGTACCCCAGCAGTCTCTTGTTGAAGGAAAACGAGAACTTGGTGTCCTTGTTTCCCGACAGAGGAGACTTCTCCAGCCTCTGCTCCTCCTCCATCTTCAGCAGGGAGTCGGGCTTGCTGTTCTGAAAAGCAAACCGAGGACTGTCACTGGGCCGCACGCAGGCAGCCAGCGGGCAAAAGTGTTGGGTCTGGCCGGCCTCCTCCCTCGGACCACATCATCCAGGAAGCCCATTCTCTGTCGCCCCAGCCCTGCAAGACGCTGCCCGGCTCCAGGGAGTGTGAGCTCAAACCAGAGCAGCCGCGCAGGACAAAGCTGTCCGCCAACTCGGAGAGGGACACGCTGGCCCCGGGCCAGGAGGCACCCATGCCAACCCTGTGGAAGGCAGCCCCACAGAGGCCACACTTACAGACATTCACAGACCTACACGGCACTGCCCACATGGGGACACGCCCACACAGCCAACAGGTGCACACCTCCACTCACACCCCCAAGCCCACACCCCACCCCCCCGCACATCCCCTTCTCTCAGAACACAGCCCTCCCTGAGGGTAGGCTCCCGTGTATGCACAAACATGCACACACACACCTCACCTTGTACTTCCACTTGGCTTCTGACTTGCTTTTAGTCTGTTCGCGGATTTCTAGCCTCTCCACGTCATTCTGTGAACTGATCACCTCCTTGTTGGGCACACTCAGGACACTCTTTGTGGCCTAGAAAATAGAAGTCATGACCCAGCAGTGGACACAGGAGAGTGTCAAGGATCCCTGAGGCCTCAGGATGAAGTGAGAGCCACACAGCACAGGCCCCTGGCCCCTGCTGGCTCACATGTAGCTGCTCATCTACCCATCCATTCATCCACCCATCCAGCCACCATCCATCCATCCACCCACTCATCCACCCCATCCGCCCACCATCCCAACCATCTAACCATCCACCCATGGACAATCCCAATATCCCAACCATCCACCCACCCACTGACCCATCCACACAGCCATCCACCCACCATCCCATCCACCCACTCACCATCCCAACCACCCAATCATCCATCCACCATCCCAACCACCCAACTATCCACCATCCTATTCATCCATCCATCCATCCATGCATCCATCCGCCCACCCACCCACCATCCCAATCACCCAACTATCCACCCATGCACAATCCCAACATCCCAACCATCCACCCACCCACCGATTCATTCACCCACCACCCACCATCCCATGTATCTATGCATCTACCCACCCATCACCCATCATCTCACCCAGCCACCCACCCATCCTATCCATCCATCTATCCACCCATTCACTATCCCAACCACCCACCCACTTGCTAATCAATCCACTCAACCATCCACCATCCCATCCATCCGCCATCCACCCACCCTCCCACCCATCCATTCATACACCCATCCACTCATCCATCCACTCATCCATCCATCCATCCATCCATCCATCATCCACCCACCCACCCACCAGCTCATCCATCCACCATCCATCTACTCACCCATCCATCCATCCATTCACTCTCCCCTCCTTCTGCCCTCCTTCCCTCTTCCAGCCATCTATCTACCTATTCATTTGCTTGTTCATCCATCCTCTCTGTCTCGAGGAAAGGAAAACCAATGTGCCTCACTGGAGCCCTGGGACACTGGCCCTGGTTGTCATGGACTCCCTGAGAAGTGCTAACAGACTGCCACTAACAGGAAATTACTCAATGGGGCTGGGTCTCAGGGTCTCATGGTCCCTGAAGCCCACGCCTAAGGCCCTCTGGTCACACTGCTCAGGGCCAGGCCTGCCTCTCTCACTGCCTATGGGGGCTCAGGACCCTCAAGTAAATGCCCACATCACAAGCCCCCTTCTGCCTCCCCGACTGCCCTCTTGTGAGTGCCTGGCCCACCTTCAGGTCTCAGCCAACACCTGGACCCCAAAGAAGACTCTGCCAGCTCGTCCCCCCACAGGACCCCGTGTGGCACCCACATTCCAGCACAGACACCACTGCCTTCACTGGGAGGCTCTGTCCCTGCTGCGCCAAGCTCACTGGGACACAGCCCACCTGCCCCGGGCCCCTAGTACCCGCACACAGCAGCCCAGTGCTGTGCCACAGGCCAGCCTCTGAGGTGTCTGTGGGCCCTCTGACAGGAGGAGGAGGCCACCCACCTTGCTTTTCTTGGGCGGCTCGATCTTGGTCAGCGCCTCCTTGGTGTGGGCCTCCAGCAGGTCCAGGTTGGGGATGGTGGGTGAGGCCGCCCCCCTGCACTTCTTCCCTTTCTTCTTGCTCCCATCCTTGAGCTTTAGGGGTTTGGGGGGCTTTGGGGACTTCGGGGGCTTCGGGGGTTTGGGGACTTTGGACGGCTTGGGCATCTTCACGGTTTTGGGAGTCTTTTTCTTGGACACTTTCTCCAGGAAGGACCGAGGAGGGCTGGCCTCAATAGGGGATGGGGGCTCCTCCTTCTCCCGGTCCCCAAAACAGACCTCATCTGAGGAGATGGCTGGGGTCACTTCAGGTCGGGTGGCCTTGGAGGCATTCTGGGGCAAGGAGAAGGAGAGGTGGTCAACCACCTCCTGCCAGGAGGGCCTGAGCCCAGGCTGTGGGAGACAGCCCAGCAGAAAGGAGCATCTGTCCACTGCATCCACGAGACACACTGGCCATCTGTCTGCAGCGTCCATATGTTACACCCATCTACACAGCCTGTGGTTTACACTCACATCTGTCCTACAACGTCCACAGGATACACCTGTCTACACTGTCTATGGGTCACACTCACATCTGTCCTACAATGTCCATAGGATACACCCGTCTACACTGCCTACAAGACACCCTCACATCTGTCCTACAGCATCCACAGGATACATCCGTCTACACTGCCTACATGACACACTCGAGTCTGTCCTACAGACACCTTTCTACACCGCCTGCGGGTCACACTCACATTTGTCCTAGAACATCTGCAGGATACAGCCGTCTACACCACCTACGGGTCATGCTCACGTCTGTCCTACAGCGTCCACAGGATACACCCGTCTACACCTCCTACAAGGCACTCTCACGTCTGTCCTACAGACACCCGTCTACATCGCCTACGGAACATGCTCATGTCTGTCCTACAGTATCCATATGACACGCTCACATCTGTCTACACCATTGTGAGACTCACCCACCTACAGTACCCACACGACAGGATGCCACCCATCTACACTCAGTCACCTGACCCCTCACCCCCTTGGTGGGGCCTGCTGTCCCACCTGCAGCACCGAGAGGCTGGGGGCAGTGCAGGCTCGCGCAAGCAGTGGGGGAAGCGTCCTCCCTCCAGTCCCCTCCCCGTGCCCGTGGGGAGCCGCAGAGCAGCCCCAGCCCGCTCTCCCAGGGCTCCTGCCGGGAGGCCATGGGCCGCCACAGGTGCCGAGGGGTCTGCGGTGTGCCCGCGACCCTGCCCCAGACGGCTGAGAGAGGAGCCGTCTCAGACACGGCGGGCCCTGGTGGGCAGCTCCGGGGGGGCCAGGGCCGGCGGGCTCCGGAGGGGCGCCCTACCTCGCTGAGCCGGATCTCTTTGGCGAGGTCTTTGATGAGCTGGGAGGGTTTGAAGTGCTCTGGGAGTTCGTCTTCATGCTCCGCCAAAGCCTGAGGGGCGGCACACACGGGCCCGGGCTGGGTGCTGGCGTCCCCCGTCCAGGCCACGCCGCCCTGTCCCCTTCCCACCCATGGGGCCCTCCAGCCCAGGCCCCACCAGACAGGCAAAGGGAAGGCTCTGCGATGGCCTGACTCCAGGGGTGGAGAAACAAAGTCCCAGAGAGGATGACGTGCCCGAGGCCACCACAGGCTGGACAGTGGACACGGGCCGTCCTTTCCTCCTGAGCACAAGGCCACTACACCTGGCCGTGTGGCCAGGGACGGACCAGACACTGTTTCAGAGATGTGGACATGGGACAGTCCTGGGAGGGGTCACAGGACGGTGCTGCTGGGGGGACACGATGTGGGACACAGTGTAAAGGGACTGTCCACATCACAGAGCGAAGCCCACTTCTGAGCTGACGAGCTGATGCCTCCTACGTGGGCCCAAGGCCAAGAGGTTGATCTGACTCCTGCCTGGGGACCCTGCTCCCCCCCACCCTCGGGTGCACCCCGAGTTATCTCTACCACCCACCTTACCCCCTGCAGATTCTCCAGGCCCCAGGGCCCCCGTGCCTCGGGCCAGGCACGGCTCCCCCCGCCCCCGCCCCCGCTACAGGTGGGCCTGTGGCACCCACCTGCTCCTCACAGGCGGGTCCCCACAGAGGACCGGCTCGGCCAGCCGCCCACCCCCTGCCCAGCTCACACCCGGCTCATCCCCCTACCTGCTTTTTCGTCCATGATCTAAAAGCACCATTGAGAATTTTAGCTCCTTGGACTAAATGAGGGGGCAGCTGCTTCCCAGACTTGTGAGAACCTGGGTGCGGGGGAGACACAGGGATCTGGTCAGGTGGGCGTGTGCCCGCCTGCCCGCCCCCCACCCCCGCCTGCGGTGACGTCACCGGGCGGGCGGGGCGGAGGCGGGGTCCGCGCTGGGCCTCCGCCCAACGGCCAACGGTGGCTCTCGGAACGTCGGGACGCGCCCAGGTGCCCCGCGGGGCTGGTGCTCCCGCCGTCCACCCGCAGGGTGCCCCCCGCCCGCCTCAGCGGGGGCCACAGGCGCACCCACACCTCACGCTGCCCCTGCCGGCTGTGGTGGGGGGACTCCAGCCGTGGCGGGTCAGGGCGACACGGAGAGCACACCCAGGAGCGCGACCGAGCGCCCCCTTCCGACGGGGGCGCTCACTGCAGCCGAGCGGCCTCCTCGCTGAGTCACCGGGTGACAGAGGCGCGGGCCCACGGCCGGTGGTCACCCCATCAGGCCGTCTCCGGGGTGGGGCTCTGCCTGCACTGCCCTCGGCCCCCCTCCCTGCCGCGAGCCCCGCCCCCACCCGGGGGCAGGACTGGACTCCCTCCTAGACACGCCCCTCTGCGCGAGGGGCCCGATGGATGAATTTCATTGAAACCTGGCTGGTTTTTAGCTTTCCCATCTCAAACAGGAGCCAGGGCTCCTCCCCCCCAGGAGGAGAAGGGGGTCTCAGCTGGCAGTGGGAGGGCAGGCTGTCTGCTGGGAGCCAGGCACTGGCTGGAAGGCCTGCGGTGCAAGGCAGCTGGGTGTCCGCAGGGACCCAAGGGACCCCAACATGCACACCCACCCCCAGTTTGGCAGGGACGCCGTAGGGGTCCTCGGCTGGCAGCCAGGAGCCAGGCAGCCCCCCAGGCCTCCTGACATCCCAACCGAGCCCCACCAGGAGCTGAGGAGGCTGCACACACGAGGCTCGGGGACACACGCCAGCGTTCTCTCTGAAATATGAGCCGCCCTGCCCAGCACCACCCAGCAGAGTGGGGCTCAGGCCCCATGAAGGCTGTGCTCAGCCCACCCCAGGGTCTGGCCATCCTACCGCACAGAGGTAGAGCCATTACGCACCCCCAGGTCCCCAAGCTCCACCCAGAGCCACGGGCAGTGACGCCGACCTGGACGTCCATACCTTTAAACGCCTCCAGCAAATGCTTCCCCATGTACCAACAGGCAGTTTCAAAGTTGGGAAACTGAGTCAGGCTGCCGAGTTTCAATCTCCTTTCCACCTCATATGCTCTGGAAATCACAGCAAAGAACTGTCCAGAGCACTGAGCTCTGAGGAGGCGACACTAAGGGTGAGCCCACGTCACAGCCCACGAATCACAGCCGTGACAAGGCCGCACCACGGCTCTGCTGCCCCGGCCTCCACAATGGGCCCAGCGCAGCAGGAAGGATCAGGGGACCGCATGGGAAGGAGCTCCCGGGGCCAGGGCCACAGGGGCTATGCAGGGCAAAATCACGGCCCACCTCCCACGGAAGAGGCCAACGACGTGCCCTGGACTCAGGGGAGATGCCGCTACACTGGCCTGGCGGCAGGGACCCTGCCTGGCGGAACCCAGGCCAGCGTGGCCCTACCTCATCTGCATCTCCACACTCAGGCTGTGGAGGAAATGTCCCGCGAAGGCCAGGCAGTCCACAGGCGTGAGCGTGGCGTAAATCCAGCCTGGGGACACAGGGAGGTGGCCAGCCCTTCATGGCGCCCGAGGCTCCTTCCAGCCTGTCCCGGCGCCCCCGTCCAGGCTGGCCAGACTGCTCAGTGCACTTCCCGCCTGGCACAGAGCCAGGAGCTTCCCGCCCAGGGCCCGGCTGCCCGGCACCCCAGACGTCCACACACGGGCGTGGGTGGCCAGGCGGGGCTGTCACAGCCCTGGGAGAGCTGGGCTGGCCCCCCATCGTCCTTGGAGGTGAACTCGGCCACATGGGGACATCCCCCAGGGGGAGGGAGGGGTCTCTCAGAAAGGACTCCGAACACCTAAATGAATGGGAGTGTGAGGCCTCATTCGGATCCTGACTGAAAACGGGGTGAAAAACGGATCTGTAGTTAGGAAATGTGAACAGCGGCTGCTAACTGTCTGCGTCCAGCTGTGGTGACACCACTTGCAAGAGGCCTCTGGAGAAGGAGGAATCTCGGGGTGAAGCAGCGTGAGGCCTGTCGAGGGCGGTCATCTGCTCCTGTCATGCTTCCGCCTCCTCAGGGCTGAACCATCTAGATGGGCAAACGCGGGGTGCGGGCCGGCTCTGCGGGGCCCCGGGGTGAGGCGGACAGCCCCGCGGATGCTCACCTGAGGGGACGAAGAGCGTCTGGCCCTGCTTGAGGGTGCACTTGTAACACCTGTCCACCTGGTCCGCAAAGAACATCTCGCTGTGGTTCGCGGCCGACTGCCAGCGCTCGTACAGGGAGATGTTTGCCGAAGCCGGCTTGATGAGATAGAAGATCTTCTCCCCCTGCCAACGAGAGGCCACTGGCAGAGCCCGCCACAGCCCAGGACCCCGGGGGCGCCACAGGCAGGTGACAGCGCTGGGGGGCGGAGCCGGCCACCGCCCAGGGCCGCTGGGGTGGGTCCCGGCTGGAACGCCGTCCCTCTCCTGAAATGCTGGGGCCACACGGGCCTTGCACGTCAGGAGTCCGTGTGTGGGAGGATCACGGGCATCAGGGCCCGGGCACCCCCCACACCACACTTCCGCGAGCCAGGGGCAGCCCTGCTGTGTGACGACTTCCTGGGAAGCCCCACTCCCGAGAGCCTCCTGGTCTGGGCTGCAGATGGAAGGAGGGCCCCCACGGCCAGGCCCTGGCCTGCCCTGCACCCGGGGCCCCTCAGGGCCAGGGCCACAGGCCCAGCAGCCCACTGAGTCAGGCTCAGGTGGTGCGAGAAGACCCAAGGCCGGTGCTTGAGCCTAAGACTTAGCATTCCCTTCATTTGTCTTCACATCTCCCTTGTCCCCTGGCAGGGGCCCCCAGCCCTCTCGCTGTCGTGTGGGCCCCCACACCCGTTCCCCCGCCCGCTCTTCCCGGAAGCCGTCCCAGCACTGCGCTCTCTTCCTGAGGGGTCCGAACTGTGGAGCGCGGGGGCTCCCTCCGGTGGGCCTCCGATTGCTTCCTGAGCCTCCCCCTTCCCCAGACAAAGGAAACACATCTGTGTGGCTCTGGCCCCCAGGCGCCCCCACCCCACCTCCCGAGGGCCGGAGAAACACGTGCCCCGTGTCCAGCCAGGCGCTGGGCCCCGAGGGCCGTGGCGACCGCAGCGGCCCTGCTTGTGGAGGCGGGTGCGCCCACCTTGAGCACGTGGTACCAGGCGGAGGCGCCCCCCGAGTCGATGTGGAAGTCGGTGTAGCTGTCCTTCACGCAGATCAGGCAGTACTTGGTCACCTTGGGCTTGGCCAGCAGCGCGTCATCCGGCCAGCAGGTCTCCACCCAGGACAGCTTCTTGACAATGTCAGGCGGCTCCACGAAGCTGGACATCCTGGGTGGAGACAGGAGGGGGGTATTGGTGACAGGAAACTCGCCCCCAGGCAGGAAAGGTGATGCACGTCCCTCAGCTGTTCTCCACCCTGGGCAAGTGACATTGCCCCCACTTTACAGACAAGCAAACTAAGGCCCTCGGGGGCAGATCGCACCCAGCCGCCGGGTGCAGCCGCAGCAGGTGCCTAACACGGGTCTCTCTGTCCAAAGTCGGGCGCAGGGAAAGCCAGAGACGGGGATGGTCCAGGCGGCCCACGAGGGTGGCCCAGCGTCACTTGGCGAGAAGCCGCTGCCCTACAGGGCAGACCACAGGGGCCTGTGGCTCGGAGCCAGCGTGGGTCACTGTCAGACCCAGAAGATGCAGAAAGTCAAAGGCGGCCTTTTCTTTTTTTTTTTTTTAATGTTTTTTATTTATTTCTAGGAGAGGGAGAGAGAGAGAGACAGCGTGAGCAGGGGAGGGTCAGAGAGAGAGGGAGTCACAGACTGAAGCAGGCTCCAGGCTCTGAGCTGGCAGTCAGCACAGAGCCTGACGCGGGGCTCGAACCCACGAACTGCGAGATCATGACCTAAGCGAAAGTCGGACGCCTAACCGACTAAGCCACCCAGGCGCCCCTAAAGGGCGGCCTTTTCAATTAAATGTCACTGTCGTGACTAAAATGCAGTATCGCGTCGAAGTCGTCCAGGTCAGCAGCCCTGCACGGTGACACACCCACACCCCGGCCGCCTCGGGCAGGACAGAACTGCACAGCCCCGCACCGAAGACCATGCTCGCCCGGACAGGAGTGTCACAAACCACACGCCAGGCCCTGCCACCCCACCCTCAGACCTCAGCAGCAGAGCCTCTTGACATCTCCGGCTTGTCCCACGCTGGTGTTCCTCTCTGTCCCCGAGCCCTCCTCGACCTGTCCATGCCCATAGCGGTCCCCAGGCCCTCCACCGCCACAGGAGAGGGGCCCTCTGCACACCACACCCCAGCGCTTGCCGCCACGCCCACAACTGCCCTCGCTTCCCCGCTGGACAGCTCCCTGGGGACACAGCCAGCCTGCCCTCCTGTCACCAGCGCTGGCTGCCCCCTGCAGCCTCCTAGAGTGGATGGGCTGGGTCCCACAGCCCCCAGGCACCTGAGGCCACCGTGGGTGACAGTGCAGAGGTGACGATGTATGTCCACATAATTGACACGTCACTGTCACAGCAGGCGCCTCTGAGGTCAGGGGACGCGTGAGTCACTGCAGGATCCCCAAGGCCACAGACCCTGACACAGCTGCAGACAGTGGGTCAGGCACCCCTGCAGCCTCAGCAGATGTCTTCGGGGACAGACTGTGCTGAGGCATGGAGGCCACCCTCTCCCCCCTGACGGCCCTGGTGCCAAGACCACAAATGGGTGTGAAGTGTCCGTGACCCCTGTGATCCTCTGACCCCTGTGATCCTCAGACCAGGCCTGAGGACACCGGAGGCACCACACATTTTCGGCCAGCAAAGGGGTGATCTCAAGAGGCCCAAGGGGAAACCCCACACCAAAGCACCCACTCCCCAGCTCGGCCACCCTGGCAGCTCTCTGTGACACCCCCAGGCTGGCCAGCAGACCGACCTGCGTGTGCCCTCCCTGGAGCTCAGCCTTGGAGAAAACCCTGCTTGTGAACTCGCAGGAGGCAGCTTTCTCCCGAGATGCTAATCCATCTTATTTCCCTTTATGCCTTTGCTGTCAGGAAGCTCAAACAAACCCCAGACTACAGTTACAATATCCTGTTCGGGCTTCTGGCACAGTTCTGTATTCTCCTTCTCACTGTGGTTTTCAGTAACTCTTTTTTCCTCCCTGCCCTTCTGCACTCGAGCTATTTGGCTATCACGTGTGCTCTTCAGAAGTCGGCAAGGTGGAAAAGGTCTGAATCATGCTTAAACTAAACCATCATCAAGAACTCAGGTCTTGTGCTGAGCAAGGGGCCAGCTGGAGAGCCGCGAGGATTTGACGGAGGAGCGGGAAAGGCGGGGCCGCGGCAGAGCAGGGCCACGGGCACAAGGGGCGGAGCCGGCGGCTGACCAGCCCCTGACGACACAGGAGCTGGGCCTCGGCGTCCAGGCGGCCCCAGGGCAGGACGCTCCTCCCTGAGAGCCGCAGCAAGCAGGGCAGGCCTGGCCCGAGGGGCTCAGGCTGGGACCGCGGCAAGAGCGGGTGGGGGGCACGACCCGCCATGCTGACGGTGTGCGTTCGAGGATGCCCCTGGGAGTGTGTGCAACACGAGTGGGAGCGTGTGGGGGTGTGGGCGTCTGCACAAGAGTCAGTGTCTCCGGGAGTGTCATGGGGCGTGAGCACCTGCATTCTGGAAGAATCTACGCCACACTGTTGCTCTCTCTGGGGGGGGGGGGGCAGGCTGGAGGAGGAGGCCCCATTTGGCTGCTCATGTTCTGTCTGAATTTGTCACACTGTGTCACTTCCAGTCTTGAGAAGAGAAACAGACCGGCACCGCGTGCCGCTCTCCACCTGTGTGCTGCTCCCCGAGCGGCCGTGGCCCCCCGGCGCCCTCACCTGGTGTCGGAGAACTCGAGGCTGGTGAGGTTGAGGACCCGCTTGCGGTTGGTGCTGTAGTAATAGTCCACAAACTCCTTCAGCTTCATCTTGCAGTCCTTCTGCTTGGCCACATCCGTCACGTCCACGCTCCGCTCCGGGCCTGCAGGCGGGGCGGGGGGCGGGGCAGTGAGCGGGGCAGGGGTGCAGCTGCCCCCCCCCACCCTGTGGGCTCCCTGCTGAGAGGCAGGGGTGCAGGGAGGCAGCTGGGACACAGGCCTCGGCCAGGAGGATGCCCGTCAGGCGGGAACTCCAGGGAAACAACATGCGGTAAACTCACATCTTAAGAATTAAAAAATCAAAAGCCCCTATACTTCTAGGCTCCAGCTTATTATTCTGAAAACTGGTAAGTTAAAGGAAAAAATTTCCCCCACATTTTCTATAGTTGATGAGGAGAAGTTCAGGGTAAAAATCGCTGAGAACAGGCGTTACCAGATAATCCAGGAAGTGGCGAGGGTGAGCCCGTCACACTGACTCACAATTAGTAGTGGGACAAAGATGCACAGGACTAATGGCCTCGTCCCCCCATGGTCCCCAGGGGCCACCCAGACCCCAGCTGCAGGCTGACAGGCACTGCTGTGCGGGTGGCCAGGCGCCCCGGCCCCTGAAGGGCCCGCCGTCCACCTGAATGAAAGTCTAAGCGTCTGTCCGGGTGGGCGGGAACCACTGGGGACAGAGGAGCAGTGACGTGACACCCTGGGCACGCAGTCGGCCGAATCCCCCACATGGGCGTCCTCTGGGACCAGCAGCCCCACCCCTGCCACACCCTCGGGAAGGGGGAGGTGCTAAGAGGCATAAACACCGAATGTGTGGGTCTGGCCTGGGCTCCAATTCAAACAGCCGAACCGGAAGGGGCGTCTGGGGCACCCGGGTGACTGAAGTGGGGCTCTGATGCTGCTGAGCAGCCGGGGCTGCCACGGCGTGAAATCGTCCGTCAGAGCCGCGCGCTGGGGCTGCCGTGGGAGAAGCGACGTCCGGACCAAAGCTTCGCTTTCGATTTTGGGTGCAGAGACAGAAAGTCCGCTGAAAACTTGTGGTTTTGTGCACAGTGCTGGGCACAGGGGCGTTTACGCCCCTTGTTTTGGGTGTGTACATTTGTGCGCGCGTGTGTAAAAAGGCCCATTATAAAAACACATAAGGAGAAGGGAAAGTGTTTACAACAAAAGCCTCCCCGTCAGCTAAGCTGCCCCCGCAGACAGCACCGCGGCCGAGCAGGCAGTGTCCGGGCCAGCCCGCCGCGCCCTCTGTGGCCGCCGGGGCAGGGCCACACCAGCTCCCCCGTGGCGCCCGGCACCTGGCAGGTGTGCACTAGAGTTTAGCTGTTACTCCAGGTGCTGCGGCCGGGCACGGGGTCACGGGGGGCCCAGGCGGGGGCCCTTCTCTCTGCCTGCCACAGGGGCCTGGGCATCTGCCTTCTCAGGCTCTGCCCTCCTGTGCGGGCCACACCCTAAGCCCCAGCCACCGTGGGGGCCGCAGAGCCTGGGCCGGTGGCCCCTGCCTCACAGACGCTGTCCACGCACACACAGGGCCCTCCCTGCACCCGGAGGGGTCCCGACTGAGGGTCCCCACAGCACTGGGAGCTGCCAGGCTGGACGGGGCAGCGTCGGCAGGAACCAGAGGGATCCAGAGAGGAAGGGTCCCGGGGCAGACGAAGGGGGCCCCAGGCCGGCCCAGGGGAGACTGCGGGGACACAGCACAAACCTCAGGGGCCCTCCACCACCACCGTTAGCGCCCAGTGGAAATGGATTTCGCAGCTGGGAGAATGAAAGGGTCCCGAGGCAGCCCCGTTTTGCACCACAATAACTGACGGGGGCGCGGGGGGGATGGCCAGGGTCACAGGCCACTTTAGTGGGACAGGGGTCTAATTCTAGGAAGAGCACCCTGAAGGTACACGGAGACCCCGTGTCACACGGCTCACACGGCGCGGGGACCAGCCAGGGCATACGGCGAGCAGGCCCCAGGGTGGCCACTCACCCACGTAGTTCTCAACGTCGCTGACATAGAAGGTGGGGGCCGGGACCGCCAGGCCCAGCCCGTCTTTCTTGGGCACGAGGATGGGCTCAGTGAAGCCGTGCTCCTCCATGTAGCCCAGCGTGAGCTGGCTGCCGGGCACACGCACCACCACGTCTTCCGCGCTGCGGGGAAAGTGAGGGTCAGAGGTCACGCCGGCCAGGGTCCTGGCCCTGCAGCACTGGGACAGGCTGGATAGGGCCTCAGGGCCGGAGACGTGCAGCCGGAGCCCCCACACCCTGGGAGGAGGGCTCGCCCCCGGCACCGCGCTCAGGGGCCACGGAGCGGCCACGGACAGATGCGGTGCCACCCCACACATTCATCACGGACGTTGGACCTCAAGGTCCAGGATGGGGGACACATGGAGACCGACCCTCCCACCAGGGCACAGAAAGGCAGAGTGTGAGCAGGACCCTTCCCCTGCCCTGCACCCCTGCCTGCCCTCCATAACATCCGTCCCATGCGTGCAGAGAACAGGCCCTGCGCGGCGGAGGGCTGGGCCCGAGGGCACGGCAGATGCAGACAAACCCCTTCCGGGGAGAACCCACCCCCTGCACAAGCCGAGCGCAGGGTCGGCGGGCAGCTGTGTGCTGGGCACTGCCCGGGGCACCGGGACCTTTGAGGCCCAGCTGGACAGCCCGCGTGTGACGCTGGAGATGGGCTCCCATCAGACAAGCATGCAAGTAAGCCCATCGCTGAGAGCGGAGCTTGGGGGCACAGGCAGGGGTCAGCGTCAGGGCGGCCTGCCCAGGCCTAGGGGTGCAGGACTGAGAGGCACGGGCCCCGGGCAGAAGGGAGGTGCCAGCAAAGCCCGAGAGTGGGGAGAATGTGGCCAGGGGTGGGGAGAGAGAAGGGGCCCGGTGGCGGGGGGCAGAGGGCGAGTGGGCTGAGCACACAGTGGCTGAGGTGGCCTTCCGCCTCCCGCCAAGGGCACCAGGGGGCCACTGGACAGCTTGGGCTGGAGGCTGATCCGGCTGCTGTGTGGATGGGCAGGGGCTGCAGCGGGAGCAGGCTGGGAGGGGGAGGCAGCTGCGAGTGAGAGGGGGGACGAACAGGGGAGGGAACGGCGGACGGCTGAGGGACCACGGGCTGGAGGAGAGCAGGTGTGTGCGGGGGGCAGACCCACAGCTGACGTGGGACAGATGGACTGGGGACAGGTCAGGAGTTCAGAGGCTGGAGAGGGAGGCTGAAGCCGCTGGCCAAGGGGCAGCCTGGGGAGACGGCGCCCGGACAAAACGGAAGCCCACGCCCTCCTGTCACACCGCCCCCCGCACCAGCTCTGGGACTGCAAAGCCCACGAGGATGCAGCAAAGACAAACACTGACTGGTCCTGCGGGGACACCTCCTGGCCCAGGACAGACAGGCCGCCTGGCAGAATGACCAAGTGTCAGAACGAGGTCCAAGGAGCGGGCACGATGGACGGCTGGGAAGGGGAGTTGGAGACAAACACGAACCACACTCACAGGGATGACAGGAGAACGCAGCCGACAGCGGGGAGGGAAGAAGTCAGAGCGGGCAACACTGACAATGACCAGGGAGAGATTCTAGACACGAAAAACATCACTTTTGAAAAAAATTTAAGAACTCAACGGATGCATTCAATGGTAGCTGCCTGAAAACAAAATGGTCAATTTGATGAAATACTTGAAAAATAATACAGAGAAATGGGATGAAATACTACATTGAAAGGGAAACGCTATTTAAAAAGAAAATAGACCATTTTCCAGAACTGAGATAAGATACTATTCCTCAAATTAAAAGACCTTACTGAGTCCTGAGTAGAATTAATAAAAACAAAGTCACTTCCAGAGGCACGGTAGCTCATCTGCAGTATGTCAGAGACAATGTGAGAAGTTTTCAGAGAAAAAAACAGATTATTTACCAAAACCAAACAAACCAACAGCAGCCACTAGACTGACCACAGACATCTCAGGAACAACAGGAAATGCCAAACGACAATAGAATAATAGTATCTTCAAAGAATTCAAGGAAAATAGCTTTTACTCTAAAATTTTAGACTCATTTTAGAAAATTAGAATCATTTAAGACCAAGGATGAAATGAAAACATTTTCAAAAACAGAATATTTCTATAGGCTTTTACTGAACCACTGAAGGTTATAATTCAATCAGAGAGAAATCAAATCTAGAGGAAAGAAACAGGACTCAAGAAATAAGAGAAAATTTGGCTTCGGAATTCACACAATCCCTGTCACAACACTGGCTGACGTCTTTGCAGAAATAGGCTGAACCTGGAAAGCCGACGGGAAGGGCAAGGCCCCCGGGTGACCAAACCAGTCTTCCACCAGAGAACAAAGTGGAAGACACTTACCAACTTCAAAATTCACTCCAAAGCTAAGGTAATCAAGACCGTGTGGTGCCGGCACGAGAAGAGAGAAGTTGGGTGCAGCCGAACCCAGTATCCAGAAAGAAACCCAAACATCTATGGCCACTGCTCTTTCATCGGGAGCGTCAGGACAGCTCAGTGGGGGAAAAAGTTAGTTCAATAAACGGTGCACGAGAGAACAGGACGTCCACATGCAAAAGAATGAAGCGGGACCCCGACCTCACATCGTATACAAAAACTAACTCAAAATGAGTTGAAGGCCTACACATAAAGGCTGGAACTGTAAAATTTTCAGAAGAAAACACAGACACAGACATAAATCTTCACAACCTGGAATCTGAAATGGTTTCCTAGAAGCCAAAACCATGAGCAACAACAACAAAAATGAATGAATTTGATTCCATCAAAATTATAAACATTTGCATTTCAAAGGACACCATGAAGAAAGTGGAAAGGCAGCCACAGAACAGGAGAAAAGTATCTGACCAGTGGCAAGTATCTAGAATATGTAAAGAACTATTACAACTCAACAATAAAAAGACACCCCAATTAATGAGAAGGGGTTAATGTAATGTGGACCTTCTGTTTTCAACTCCAACACGTAAAGAGCTCAGAAATGGTCATTCCTGTCCTCACAACAAGAAAAAAGCTCAACAGACTAAAAATCAAGGAATTGTCACTGAAATTAGAGTCACTGAAAATCAGGGTTACAGGGCAACCCCCCCCCCCCAAATCTCGGGAGACAGGCAAATACAGAGAGGACCCTACCTGAAGCAGAGGTGGCTGGAGGCGGTAGCCAGGAGGAATAAGTAATGTGATTTCTGACAAAGTGCAGAGGTTGGGTGTGAACTAGCTTCAGAGTTAAGAACTCATAGGGCCCGGCCTCAGGGGAGACCCACACTTCCATGGGTTCTACCCCCAGGTTCTCCTGGTGAAGATCTGACCGATTTCAGGCGCAGCTGGGGGACACCAACCATGTGTGAATACACTCCGAGTGTTGTCTGTAACAAAGGTCTACCTTCCAGGAGCACTTGCTTAACCAGACCCTCATCTGACGGGGGAAGGGCAAGTGCCCCCCGCAGCCCCCGCGAGCTTCCTGTCTCAGGGGAGGAGAGGAAAAGCAAAGGCCAAGAGACGCTTCCAAAGGTAACAGCCCAGCCTCGGGGCGCTGCAACACTGAGGTGTGTCCCTCCATTACAGAATGTGTCCCTCCCCTGACCCGACCACCGTACAACAGCATAGTGACAGCTGAGTATAACAGAGAGAGCCACAGGGCAGATTCTATTTAAGAAGGAGCTGTTAGGGACGCCCAGCGTGAACAGGGGAGGAGGAAAACACCAGGAAACTGGGGGACAGTCACGTGTCTGGCACCCACATCTTCAGCGAACACAACCCACTCCCTAGTCCGGTCAATACCAACCTCACTCTGACTGCATAATCCCCTCAGCTCCTTTGACTCAATACAGCATGTCCAGCTTTCACCAAAAAATCACAAGATGCACAACACGGCAAAAAACCATAGTCTAAAGACACAGAGCAGATCACCTCACCCCTGGCAGAAGGGCTAAAATCACAAAGACAAGAAAGGACAGGTGTTGCCGAGATTGTGGCGAGAAAGGAGCCCTTGTGCTCTGCTGGCGGTAGTGTAACCTGTGCACCCACGCTGGGGAACAGCCTGGGGCGCCTTACAATATTACACACAGAATTACCCAGTGGCCCCATAATTCACCACTGGGTATTTACTCAGAGAAAATGAAAACACTGTTTCAAAACGATGCACCCTGAAGTTTATAGCAGCATTATCAGCAATAGCCAAGATACAGAAAGAGCCCAAATGTCTATTGACTGATGAACGGACAAAGAAGATGTGGTATACACACACACACACACACACACACACACACACACACACTAGAATAGTACTCCGACATAAAAAAGAATGAAATCTTTCCATTTACAACAACATGGATAGAGCTAGAGAGTATAATGTTAAGAATAATAAAAAGAAGTCAGGCAGAGAAAGACAAATACCGTATGATTTGACTCATATGTGGAACTTAAGAAACAAAACAAATGAACGAAGAACAGGGGCACCTGGGGGGCTCAGTCAGTTAAGCATCCAACTTCGGCTCAGGTCATGATCTCGTGGTTCACAGATTCGAGCCCCACTTCAGGCTCTGTGCTGACAGCTCAGAGCCTGGAGCTGCTTCGGAGTCTGTGTCTCCCTCTCTCTGCCCCTCCCCCACTCATTCTCTCTCCCCCCCTCTCAAAAATAAATAAATTTTTTAAAAAATGAACAAAGAATAAAAAAGAGATGAACAAAAGAGCCAGACTCAAATACAGAGAACAAACTGGTAGTTACTGGAGGAAAGTCTGTGTGGGGATGGGTGAAATAGGTGAATGGGGTTGAGGGTACATTTATCACGACAAGCACTAAATAATGGGTGGAAATACTGAATCACTGTATTGTACACTTGAAACTAATATAATGCTATATGTTAATTATATTTCAATTAAAAATAAAAAGTTTCAAGAATATCAGGACTTAGCTCAGCTATAGCACAGAATTTGGAATTACAAGATAGGAATTTTTGGGGAGCTCCTGGGTGGCTCAGTCAGTTAAGCATCTGAATTCAGCTCAGGTCATGATCTCACAGTTCATGGGTTCGAGCCCCACATCGGGCTCTGTGCTGACAGCTCAGAGCCTGGAGCCTGCTTAGGATTCTGTGTCTCCCTCTCTCTCTGACCCTCCTCTGCTCATGCTGTCTCTCTCTCTCTCAGAAATAAATAAAACATTAAAGATAGAATTTTTTTTAAATTATGATTAATAGGAGTTCTAATGGAAAAAGTAGACAACATGCAAGAACAAAAGGAAAATGTAAGCAGAGAAGTGGACACTCCAAGAATCAAAAGGAAATGGTAGAAATAATTAAAAATGGTAACAGAATTGAAGAATGCCTTTGATGAGGCTCATCGGTAGACTGGATGTGGCTAAGAAAAGACTCTGTAAGCTTGAAGTTAAGTTATAAAATCTGCTCAACCTGAAACATAAAGAGAAAAAAGAATGAATAAAGCAAGGAACAGGATATCCCAGGAGTACAGAACAATTACAGAAAGAGCAACATATGAATGACAAGAATACCAGAAATAAAAAGAAAAGGAGCAGGAGAAATATTTGACGTAATAATGGCTGAGAATTTTCCAACATTAATGACGGATGTGAAACCACAGATCCAGAAAACAGACCGCGCCAAGTAGGATAAATGCTTGAAAACTATACCTAGACATGTCCTGACCAAGCTTCAAAACATGAGACGCAGTCTCCTGACAGGGCCACACGAGAAAGGCCTACCTCCGGCACGACCGTGTGAGGACAGTGTGGACCCACACCCCAATGGGACTTCACCCGAGGTGAAAATCATTTTGAAAAACAACTATTCAAAACCTCTGGAAAGGGCTCTAAGAGCACATAGCAAATGAAGAAACATCTAGTCGAGAAAGTCTATGAAAACCTGGCAGGAAGGCATGTGCCTGTGGCATATGGACCAAGACTGTTCCTCCCTGCACCCCCTGGCTCAGCGAGGAGGCCCCCCTCCGGAAGGCTGCGGCCAGGGACATAGGAAAGCTGAGTGGGAGCTCTCCCCAGCTTCCAGGCAGAGGGCTTTCCTCCTGGAGGAACAGGACGGCAGCCTTTGTCATCCTGCACCAGCTGTCTGTTCCCGATTGTAAGTCCTGGGCAAGGGCAGCCGAGACACGGGGGCTCCCTTCTTCCCCTCGGCCCACACTTGTGGAACGGAGGCTGCCCCAGGTGTGGTGCCCTGAGAACGCTGAGGCCCTGTCCAGCCTCTTCTGCTCAACATTCTGCTTAACATTCTACCAGAGCAATCAGGCAAGGGAAAAAAAAGTAACACAGATTGGAAGGGAAGAAAGAAAACTATTCACAGATAACATGATCTTGTATATAGAAAGTTGTAAGGAATCTACTAAAAAGCTATTTGAATTAATAAACTAGCTCAGCAAGGTTGCTGGATACAAGATCAATATACAAAAATCAATTCATTTTAGTACCATAGCAATGAACCTTCTGGAAATAAAATTAGGAAAACAATTCCATTTAAAAGAGCATCAAAAAGAGTAAGTTACTTGGGAATAAATTTAACAAAGGAAGTACAAAACTCTGAAAACTATTAAACACTGATGAAGGAAATTTAAAAGATCTTAATAGGAGAATATCTATGTTCACGGGTCAGAAGATTTTGCATTTTTCAGATGGTAATACTCTGATTCTACTGATGTACAGAATCCACACAGTCCAAATCAGGTGACTTCTCTGTAGACCTGACAAGATGATTCTAAAATTCATATAGAATAGCAACAGACCCAGAATGACCAGAACGGTTAACAAAAACAAAGCTGAAGGGGCGCCTGGGGGGTTCAGTCGGTTAAGTGCCCAATTTTGGCTCAGGTCCTGATCTCATGGTTCATGAGTTCAAGCCCTGCATTGGGCTCTGTGCTCACAGCTCAGAGCCTGGCACCTGCTTGGGATTCTGTGTCTCCATCTCTGCTCCTCTCCTCACTCATGCTCTATCTCTCTCTCTCAAAAATAAACATTTAAAAAATGTTTAATAAAAAAAGAAAGAAAAGCAAAGCTGGAGGACTCACACTTCTTCATTTCAAAATGTACCACAAAGGACCAGTAGTCCAGGCAATGTGAGACCAGCCTAAGGATAAACACAGATTAGTGGAACAGAGCTGAGTGTCCAGAAATAAAAGCACATACTTACAGCTAAGGGCCAAGACCACTTAATAGAAAAAGAATGGTCTTTTTACAAATTGTGCAGGGACAAATGGAGAGATGCATGCAAAAAAAAAAGAAAAAAGAAAAGAAAAGAAAAGAAAAGATCCTTATCTCACCCAAATGAAGAAATTAACTCAAAATATATCGAAGACAAAACTGTGAGACCTAAAAACTACATTTGGATTTGGCAAATGATCCTCAGCTATGACCACAAAAGCACAAATAACAAAATAAAAAATGGATAAACTGGATTCCATCAAAATTACAGATGTTGGTGCGTTAAAGGACATGATCAAGAAAGTGAAAAGTCTATAAAACAGGATAAAGTATTCACAAATCACTTATCTGTTAAGAGACTTGTATCTAAAATATATAAAGAATTCTCTGGGGGCGGTTGGGTGGCTCAGTCAGTTAAGTGTCCGACGTCGGCTCAGGTGATGATCTCAGTGTTTGTGAGTTCAAGCCCCGCATTGGGCTCTGTGCTGACAGCTCAGAGCCTGGAGCCTGCTGCAGATTCTGCGTGTCTCTCTCTCTGCCCCTCCCCTATCTATGCTCTTTCTCTGTCTTTCAATAATCAATAAATGTAAAAAAATAAAAAAATTCTCTGACTCAATAATTAAAAGACACAAAAGTTAAAAATAGGCAAAGGGTCTGAACTGACAATTCTCCAAGGAAGACACACGAAATGACCACCGCGCACAAGCAGAGATGCTCAACCTGACTCGTCCTGAGGTCCCTCCCAGACCAGGGAGGGAGAAAGCCTCACACCTGTAAGCGCAGTTAGAATTAAAACGCCAGACAATCACAGGGGCCAGCGGGGCCTCACGCTCTGCTGGCGGGGACGACAGCACCGTGACACTGTGGAGGACAGTCTGGCGGTTCCGCAGACAACTGAATACGGAACCACTGCTCCTAAAAACAGGAAAACAATGTCCCCCAGAATCTGGCATAAAAATGTTTACACAGAACCATCCGCAGCAGCCAGGGATCAGAACCCCAGCGCGGCAGCGGATGGACGGATAAACAACACGCTGTCTATCCACACGACAGAACGTTAAATAGACCCTGGGGGGGGGGGGGTGAGGAAAACGTTCTAAATCGGCTGCTGGCAGCGCACACGTCTGAGAACCGAGCCATCCGCTGGAAATGGGTGAAGTGTAAGGTCCGGGAGTTGTATCTCCATAAAAGTCAGGGAAAGGCAAGAAGCCAGAGGAGGGAGGGACCTTGTCCGTGGGTCACGGGTAAGAGTCGCCCTGGACCCTCATGAGGCACCCGCAGGCAAGACGGCAGCGGGGCGGGGCACTCAAAGCGCTAACAGGAAAGAACCCACCACACAGGATTCTGGGTCCAGTGAGTAACTCTTCAAAAGTAGAGGAGAAGCAAAGACTTTGTCAGACGAACAAGAAGTCTTCGCGCCCCGAGGGGCCGAGGGGGCCAGAGCAGCGTGAAAGGCACACGCCTCCAAGTCCGGGTCCCCCGGTCCTGCCCCTGCCCTCTGCCCTCCACCCGCGGGCAGCGCTCTGAGAAGGGGACCTGGGGACAGCCTGCCAGGCCCGGGGGCAGAGGGCCACGTCTGGAGGGTGGTGTTAGGCAGGAGCCCAGCCCCCACTCCTCGCCCACCAGAACCTGAGATCAGCAGCCTTCCCCTCAGGAAGCTTCCGTGGAAAGGGCCACGCCAGGTGGGGGTGCGGATACACGAGCCCAGAGGAAGAGGGTCCCCAACACCTGTCCCCCAGGTGCTAAGGAAGGGGTCAGCCTCAGAGCCAGGAGCGCCTAGGGCTTGGGGGGGCTGTGCCGCTCCCCTGGAGGGAAGGCCGTGCCCCTGGCCCCCCAGGACGAGGCCGCCACCGCCCACCTGGGGAAGGTCCGACTCCGCAGCTCCTTGATGAAGAGCTGGCTGCCGTTCTGTACGGGCTTCACGTCGGGCGTCTGCCCTGGGCCGTGCTTGTGCCAGGCCCGCTTCTTCTTCACTGTGGGGAGACAGGGGCAGATGGTACCCGGCCCCTCCCCTCCTGCACCACAGGGGCCCCGCCCAGAGGCCAGCCCAGGAGCCAGCAGCGGCCTCGGCAGAGGCAAGGCCCCCAGAGTCCCCCGGGGGGCCGCCCACCCACCCACCCTCCCAGCCTTGGGTCTCAGCCCCACCCCTCCCACCCCTCCCACCCCTCTGGCTCCGCCGACCAGGCCCCGAAGCTGGGGGAGCCCAGGACCCTTCCCATGAGAGTGCCTCAGAGGCACCTACAAGGAGGTCCCACTAAGGGGACGCCACCCCCAGGCTTGTCACCTCCCTGTTGTGACCTTTGTTGCCCTAAGCCCACCGCTGGGGCAGGAGCAGGCTGGCACCTCCCTCCATAGCCCTGCCCTCCCCACACCCCGCCTGTGCCATCTCGTGCTCCTGTGTGCCCCCCGTGACACCACCACCCTGCCTGCTGACTCCGCCTCTCCCGCCCCCATGCGCTCCCAGGGCACCGGGGACCCCGCCCTGGACTCTTTACACAAAGCGTGTGCACACGCCCCACTGAACTACAGGACACTCGCATACGCATGCATATGCACACACATGTGCCCATAGATGCACAAGCACACACTTGTATGCAGGCCCACACAGTGCACACAGAACATGCACGTGCACACACATGTACACACACTCACACACCTACTGGACTGCAGCACATGTGCACACACGTGCATATGCACGTGTGCGCACGCCCATGCAGTGCACACAGGATGCACATGTGCGCGCACACACCTACTGGACTATGGCACATGGACATGTGCGCTCACACACTTACTGGACTATGGCACATTTGCACACACATGCAATATGCACACACAAATGCCTGTTTACCCACAGGCACACCCACATAGTGCACATAGAACATGCACATGCACACATATGTACACATGCACTCACACACCGCACTGTGGCGCATTCACACATGCATGCGTGCACAATGCACACCCACATTGTACACAGAACATGCATGTGCACACATGTAGATGCACTCACACACCTACTGAACAGTGGTACATTTGCACACACATGCATATGCACAAATGTGTGTGCACACCCACACAGTGCACACAGAACATGCACAGACACGTACACACGCATCACACAACCCTACTGAATTGTAAGCCCCCGGAGGCGTGGGAAGCAATTTCTGTGGGGCCCCCACCCCCGCTCAGGGCAGCCCCTGCCGACTTGGTGAGTGAGGACAACACTGGCGCGGAGACCCGTGGGTGGGCTGTGAAACAGGTTGGCGCCATGACAGACATGAGACGGGCTGTGAGGGGCTGCCAGCAGACCCTCAGGATGCCCTTCCCTCACAGACAAGGATGGGGCTGCCACCAATGACCCTTGAGCCTACCTCCAACAATGATGTGACATTTCCGTCACGCCTGGTTTGCCACGGCCAGGGTGTGAGCGGATGTTATGGAAACCTGGCAAGATCCTGCCGAGGGGGGACTCGAGCCGGGGGGAGGGACTCGAGCCGGGGGGGACTCGACCCAGGGGTTCTGGTGGCGGCCCCAGGCACAGGCGAGAGATCGAAGGGCTGCGTCACCTGCCCAAATCTTTCTTGGCCCACCAGCCTGTAGCTGTGTGACCTGGGGCTGGCTACTGGGTGTCTCTGTGCTACAAATTTAATAGCGAGGTCTGGGACCCTCATGAGCTGCGGGAGGGGAGCGGTGTGGGTGCCCCTGCCCGCCCCAGGAGCTCTGTGGGGCACACTGAGCGTGCACAGCCCCTGCTCTTGGCAAGGCTGCTTGGGCTGAAAGCATTTGTTCACGGGCTCCAACCCGCTCTGAACCCTCAGGCTCTCCCCACTCACCGACTATGCCTGGCACAGCCCAGCTTAGTGGGCACACGGGTGGGCTGTGAATGGCTGGTCTCCTGGGCGCTGCACTGGCGCCTCGGGTTACCCTGGCTCAGGCCTGTTCTTCCCAGCGGTTTGCAAGTGCTCCGGGCTGCCCCTGGTGGGAGGCGAGCCTGGCTCCTGACCACTTACGAGGGGTCTGGCGCCTCCGGGGACTGAGAAGGGGTGGGAGGGAAGCCCAGCCCGCACGCTGGCAGCCATGGGTGACACAGCAGGTGGGGAGACCAGCGGGGACACAGAGGCCCCATGCCGTCTGGGGGGCAGCTTCGGAGGGGGTCCCACGGGGCCCCTCAAGGTCCTCCCAAGCTGGCACCGCACCTGTCCCGCTCCCCACCTCCCAAGGTCTCCCTCCGGAAGGTGTGCAGAAGCGCGAGGATGACGATGCCTGGCAGGAGGGCCCTGGCCCCAGGGAGCCGGGTGGGGAAACCGAGGCTTGGAGGGCAGGTGCGGCCGGGGGACAGGGGTGCGGGTGTAACAGGCAGTGGGGGAAGCAGCAGCGCCCCCACAGGCCTGCCAGGACCCGGGCCTGGGAGGCAGGTGCTGACCGGGGGCCAGTGGCCTTGCTGGAACCTAACTGCCCCAACTCAGGACCGGGCATCGAGGAGCACCTGGAGGAGGGACTGGCCCTCCCGACGCTGCAGCTGGAGCGCGTGGCCGGAGCGCGTGGCCGGAGCGCGTGGCCGGGACAACAGCCACACGCAGAACCACGAGGGAGGCAGCGCGAGCTCTGGGGCTCCTTGCGCAGCCCTGGCCGGCAGGCTCCTTCCCTCCCCGGGGCCCAGGGGCCAGTGCCCTCTCATCGCGGCGCCCCACCCCCCTCTGACAAGGCTCCGGGACATCTGCCCAGCAGAAGCCTGGGGTGTGGGGGCACCAGGTGCCCACCCCCCAGGGCGGCACAGCCACACGGCCACGGGGAGGAGGGCACGAGCGCCAGGGGAGCACGGAAGGGCCGAGCGCCACCCTCCTGGGAGCCCTCCTGTAGGCGGGGACTCCTCGCCAGGCCCCAAGTCTGTGCGAATCGGGTAAACCTGTGAGCCCCCACCCTCATGTCAGTGCCCACTGCAAACCCACCCAGGGCCCCCAGCACACCCACAGCCTTCAGGGTCCCCTGGGGACATGGGGACAGTGAGGGCCCTCACCACGGAGGGCCTGGCTGCAGCAGATGCGGCCAACAGACCAGCACGTCAACAGTGACGGGCTCATCTGGGCACAGACGCACCTCGCGGGCAGACTGACAGGGAGAGGCGCAGCGGTGGGAAGGGCTGGCCCCCGCACCTCTGTCCCTCGTGGGCACATGGGCTCCAGTAGCAACAGGACTTACAGAGCACACGTGCACAGGCGAACACACACATGCAAACACACGTGCATAACCTCACGCACACATGGATACACACACGTGTGCCCACGTTCGTGCACACACCCACACACGAGGACACACATGCGAGCATTTCTGCACACACTGTGCACACGCACAGCCGGGGGGGCTACAGTGCCCACGTGCCCTGGGCGTAGCTGGCTAGAGGTGCCAGGAAGGGCCGCCCGCGCTTGGCGTTCAGCATCAGTACAGGGGAGCCGGGTGTCCGCAGCTCAGGGACAGGGGCTTAGGCAGCAGGCACACGTGCCCCCGAGAGTGGGGAGGGTGCTTCCAGGACACACGGCATGCTGAAGTCATTCAACACGCACGGACGTGCACCTCGGCACCCCACTACGGCCCAGCCAGAGCCCGGGTTCCCGCCAGAGCCCCCAGACCACAGGGCCCTGCCCCGCCCTCCCGCAGGCCCTCAGCTCTGCTGTGGGGCAGATGGGGTCTCCTAGCTCCAGTCCTGCTCTGTCCCTGCCCTGCCCCGGGGCCACATGGTGTGACCACCAGTCCCCACCCTGTGCATCCCCACAGGCCCTGAGCCTTCCCTGTGGCTCATGAGGTGTTGGAGATGCCAGTTAACCCACGGGGTGATAGTCAGCAGTGAGCGGAATGATCTCCAGGTAATCACAGCAGACTGACTGTGAGCGCCAGCGCCCAGGGGACACGGATAAGTCAGGGACCCAGGCATCTTCCTGCTGCTCTCGCGCATTGGTGCTTTCCCGTGTGATGAGCACGTGCTGGGAGCTAGCATGACAACCCAGCCGATGCAGCCCCATGGCTACCTGGCCACCATGGTGTGCAGGCCAGAGGTGACCCCACCTGCCTCACCCAGCTCCCCATGTAACCGGGGCACAGCTCCCAAGACTGTCTGGGCAGGCTCAGCCCATAGAACAGGGTGCTGGCACCCTCCCTTGACCTCCCTTGGATCCACAGCAATCACCCCACAGGAGGTGGGGGACCAGCCTCTGCCTGTGACTGGACACCAGGAAGGGGGCTCCCTGTGAAGGGGGTGAAAGGACTCCTGGTGCCTGGGGCCAGATGTGCCCCCCCCAGCCACTCCAGGGTTGAGGATGATAAGGCTGACCCCACCCTCCTCCCCCAGTCACCCCAGGGCTCAGGATGACAAGGCTGTCATTGGGCCACCCAGCCAGGGTCAGCGTCCAGCCTGTACCTCCTGTGAGCACCCATGCCCCCAACCTGGGCCAGAAACCAGAGCCCACATTCACACCCCCACACCATCTGTCTTGTCCCCAGGCCAGGCCCCTCCCAAGACACCTGCAGACCAGGGCACACCCCCTATGCGGGCTCAGCCTCAGAACTCACCTCCTAGCAGGACATGAGCCCCACATGGAGCCACCGTGGGTGAGCCTGCTCCCTAAGGAGCCCCCACAGGATGTGCCACACCCCTCACGGGACCAGTAGGCGATCTGAGAAAGGGACTCTCCCTGCAAGGGGCGCTGGAGAAGGGGCAGCAGGTCCCCAACACAGGCACTCCCAGACCCTGCGTGGCGTCCCCACCTCAGATGGGCCTGGCCCCTCTGAAAGCACAAGCCAAGTGGCCTCAGTGGCACCCATGGGCAGGAGCCGGTCGGGAGAGGCAGTGGGCAGGGCACCAGCAAGTACCCAGGTGCTCGCCCAGCAAGCCAGCTCGGGGCGAGTCGGAGTTGAGCAGCATGGCCCCTACTTACGGGTAGACTTCCCGTGGGTTTTCTCGCAGTTCGGGCAGTGGTATATGTCGATGTCCGGGGCCTCCTCCTCTTCCACTCCCACGCAGCTGCAATGGAGGAGACACAGATGTGGCCACCGGGCAGCTCCTGCCCACCTCTCAGGAGGGTCCCGCGGTGGCAAGAGCCCAGAGGGAGTGGACTGTGTGCGAGGCCTGTGGCCCACAGGGAAAGGACGGGGGAGGAGGAGGGGGGAGGAGGGAGGGGCAAGGATGTCCTTGCTACACATGAGCAGGACACGCAGAGGGACCGGGCTGTCCAGCAGGCCTGCCTGCATAAGCCCAGAGAGGCCAGGGGGTCTCAGGAGTGGGCTGCTCCCACCACCTCACCAGGGGCAGTCCGGGGCTCTGGGTCGGGCCCCTCCTGACCCCATGGGGGGCTGCTGTCCCGGGGGAAGCCCCACAGTGCTGGACAACTGGGTATCAAAAGAATGAAGTTGAATCCCTACCTCACACCATATAAAAAATTAAACATGGATCAACAACCCAGAGAAGGCCTCACACCACACAGGTCTAAGAAGAGGTCATCGTCCCCCTTCATGACCGTGGATTTGGTCATGGATTCCCAAGAGGACACCAAAAACACAAGTAAGAAAAGAAAAAATAAACTGGATATCATCAAAATGTAAAACTTCCAAGCATTAAAGGACGCTACAAAGAAAGTGAAAAGGCAACATACAGAATGGCAAGAAGTATTTGCAAAGTACGTATCTGACGAGAGTCTAGTGTCCAGAAGGCGCAAAGAGCTTTACAGCTCAGCAACCAAAAGACCCACAAACCAACTTTTAAGCGCGCCAAGGGCTTGAACAGGCATATCTCCAAAGATGAGGTGCGAACGGCCGACAGGCTCCTGAAAGCCGCTCATCATTCTTAGTCCTCTGACGCCAGCGGAATGCACATCAAGACCATGAGATGCCACCCACACCCATGAGAAGGGCTGCAATTTTCACAAGAATAAGACACCGGGCAAACAGCAAGTGCTGGTGGGGATGTGGAAAAATGAGAAGCCTCTTAGGTCACTGGCTGGAATGTAAAGACAGCACGGCACCTAAAGAAATGGTCTGACGGCCCCCAGACAGTTACACGTGGGATTACGAGAGGCCCCAGCAATCCCACTCCTGGGCCTGTGCCCCAAAGACCCCGGAGCAGGGACTCCAACACCAGCGTTCACAGCAGCACGGGTCCCAGCAACCGAAGGACGGAAGCCACCCAAGCGTCCGTCAGGGATGACTGGATACCACACGTGGCCCGTCCACACGGCGGAAGGGGGGCTGGCAGCTGCTACAGCTTGGGTGAACCCCAGAAACTCAAGCTGAGTGAAAGGAGCCAGACGCTGAAGGCCGCGTGTGGGGCGGCTCCATCTGTGTGCAGAGTCCGGAGGAGGTAGAGGACCGGCCGGCGGCGCCAGCGACTGGGGGAGAGGAAGGGCCGGTGACTGCTCAGTGGGCACGGGGTCTCCTACTGGGGTCAGATGTTTTGGGAGCGGAGGCAATGTCTGCACAACACTGGGAAGCTACTTAATGCCACCAAAGTGTTCACTTTAAAATGGTTAAGTTTCGTGTTAAGTGAACTTTACGTCAATCAAAACGACGAAGGACCTGCCTGTGCCCGAGGCACTGGTCACCAGCGTCACCCTGCCATCGCTAAGGCTGGCGAAGCCTTCCCTCTGCACCGGGCAGCACCAAGGGCCGTCCGCGAGCGATCCCTCAACAACCCTGCGGCGGCGGAGGTGACCTTCACCCACCCCATCACGAGGAGCCCGGCGCTCCCGGTAAGGCGGCTGCCCCACCCCAGGGGCCCCCTCGCTGTGGCCCCTGCCCCCTGGCCCGGGGGGAGCGCTCTGCACACAAGATCCTCTGTAGCCACCACAGCTCCGGGGCCCCTAGACGCTGCCTGCCACAGCTGCCACGTGCCACCGTCCCAGGAGCAGAGCGGAGCCCACAAAGGCCCTGGCAAAGGATTTTGGAAGTAGGAAGTCCACTCTTCACTTCGGAACATACACCGAGCTGAGGTCCAAGCGGCCTAAAGAGGCGGGTGTAAAGGACAAGCCCTCGGAAGCAGGCTGTGAGGGCGCATTTGTCTGCTCTCACTTCTAAACAAACACAAAGCAAATCGGAGAGGACGATGCCGCGCCGAGGCGGGGCTCCAAGCCCACGGCAAGCTGTGAAGTGCCAGCCACGGAAAACAGCGGCCACAAATAGGGCAGCGTCCCCGGCTGCCCTCCAGGAGCCATGCGGGAAGGGCATTTCCCCAGTGGAAGAACACACCCCCCGCCCACTAACCACCAGGAAAGGGGGAGCTAGATCACATTACCGCGTCAGCCACCGGGCAGACTCACCGGACCAGACACTCTGATCTGGGAACACTGCGGGCTGGGGGCACCGTGGGGACAGCAAACAGCCAGGTCATCGCTGGTCTGTCTCCACAGCCCACCCTGCCCCACCAGAGCCCCAGCGAGTGATGGCCCATCTCCCACCCGTTCCCGCCTCCCACCTCCTCACATGTCTGGGAGCCCCATCCCCGGAAGGGCCCTGGCATGAGGCCCGGGGGTCACGACGTGTGCACACCAACACCCCTTCCCAGCCCTGGGAGCCCCTCTTTACCACACCGCCCCTCGGCGGAGCTGGTCAGCCTGAGCCCGGATCAGCTGGCCATCTGCCGCCCTGCACAGGGAGGCCAGGCCGAAAGGGAGAGTGAGGGTGGGGGCACGGACCCCTGGTTCCGCCCAGGACACCCCGGGGCTGCCCCTCACCTGGGAGGGCCACCCAGGGCCTGCCCCAGAGCAGGTGCTGGGGCCACAGGCGATGCCAAGCTCCCCATGACCGACACGTGCCGCCACCCGGGCCCTGACGCCTGGGCCTGTGATCCTGACAAGGGCCACCGGACTCGGAAACCAGGTCCCAATCCCCTGCCCCGGCTGTGCCGTGTGCGAGGACACCCCTAATTCCGGTGTCTCGGGGTCCCAGGACCGCAGTCAGTGAGAACTTCCCAGCAGTGAGCACACGACCACGGCGGTGGGAGGACAATCCTGAAACAGCTCGCTTACTTTACTAACCCCACGTGAGGGCTTCCCCAGTGCCTCCTGAGCAATTCCTGGGGAAATCACCCCAGAACCTAAGAGAACAACAGCTGTGGAAAAGTTACAAACATCTTCCCTGCCCTGAAGCCAGCAGCAAGGACGCGGAGTCCGAGGGAGGCCCGCGCGGCCCCCGCCCCCGGTGTGTGCCAGCAGCGCTCGGCTGCGGGCAGGGAGACGCCCGAGTACCGGGACGTCCGTGGCCCTTAGCGTGGGCAGTCCTCGTTTTAAAGACAAAATGGAAGCAACCGGGTCTCATTAACCTGCACTGGCTCTGCCCAGGTGGTGGTCAGGGAGGTGGGTGGTCAGAGAGGTGGGTGGGAAGAAAATCCCAAACATGCACACGCCTGGGGGTGGGCTCCACGCCACGCCCTCTGTAGCCCCCCCCACCGCCCCACAGGGCCCCCTGATTCGGAGGTCACCTCCCTGTGGAGATGGCTATTGGGTCAGGACAAGAGCTGGGAGCCCAAGGACTTCTCTGGATGGATGTGGGGGCTCAGCCTGCCCACCACTCGCGTGTCCTGCCGTGTCTGCAGCCAGGCGCCTGAGACCTCGCCCGCCCCCGCCCGTGTGGGTGCGCACACTGGGCTCCATGGACAGAGGCTCGGGAGGGCCTGGTGTGCCAAGGAGGGGCAGGAGACACCTGACTCCGGCTCTCCAGCTGAAGGTGGTCACCGGAAGCAGCACCAGAGCCTCCCCACGCTCCAGCTGTGGTCCAGGGAAGGATCCAGGACAGGGGTGCGGCTAAGCTGAGAGCCAGCCCGCTGGGTCCCGTCCCCACATGGCGCTCACGTGGCATCTGTGCAAGGCAGTTCCCATGGGACACTGGCCCTGCAGAGACTGTGGCCCTGGAAGGTCTGTGAGGCTGGGAGCTGCAAACCGAGTGAGAGCACCTGTGGTGCCGGGGCGGGGGGGGAGGGAGGAGGAGGGGGAAAGAATCCACTGCGGCCTGACGCAGAAAACACACATTTGAGCACAGGTGTGCACAGTTCTTCCTGGTGGAGAACTCAAACAGAGCTATCCCTATGTGTGTGTGACTTTGTGTGTACATGTGTGGGTGGGTGTGCATGTGTGTGCTGCTCTGTGTATGTGTGTATGTGAATGCATGCATGTGTGCCTGGCATGTACGTGCATATCAGTGTGTGCATGCGTGGGTGTGCACATGCCTGTGTGCATGTTTGGTGTGTGTACATGTGTGTGGGTATGAGCACACCTGGGTACATACATGTGTGTTCATGTCTGTATACATGCATGGGTGTGGTGTGTGTACATGGGCGTGTGTACATGCATATGTGGGTGTGGGTGTGTGCTGCATGCCCCAGCGTGTACATGCCTTTGTGAGTGTGTACATGCACATGAGTGAGTGTGTACATGCACGTGTGAGCGTGTACATGCACGTGTGAGTGTGTACATGCCCAAGCGTGTACATGCACGTGTGAGCATGTACATGCACGTGGGAGTATGTACACGCATGTGTGCCTGTGCTCCCGTCAGAGCTCCTTTGACCACTGGCTAAGAAGCCAGCGGCGACGCCTGCGGAGGGCGGAAGACAGGGCACATTTCCAAGGCACCTGACCCGTGAGGCTGGAGGCTGGTGACCCTGCGTCTGGCACAGTCGGCCCCAAGCAGGTTCAAGCCGATGTGGTGCCGAGAGCCCCGTAAGCAGAAGGACTGCAGGTGGGGGGGGGGGGGACAAACAGCAAGAAGAAGGCCAGGAAGAGGCCCCGGGGACGGGGGATGGCAGACACTCCGTACAGCAGCCGTCCTCCCCGGGGAGGCCTGGGCTCCGGGCTCCTCCCCCACGTGCCCCTCGGAGCTGCTCCGGCTGTGAGGCCCTCGTGGCAGCAAGCGGTCCAGGGGGAAGCGGCCTTTTCCAAGGTCGTCCCATGCCCCCCCCTCAGGCCGGCAGGACTTCGTGGAGCCCGAGGGTCAGGACCCGGCACACAGAGCTGCCCCCGGAGCACTGCCAGGGTGT